AACTCCATCGTGACGTATGGCACGCAAAGCCATTGACAGCACCAATGATCAGGTCTGTCATTGACTTTGTTGTGTGCCATGCGTCGGACTTGCAGGTGGCATGGTCCCGCCGCTCGCCGGATGCAGTTCCATATATACATCATGAGATACGACGGGCACAGCGAGGAGAACCTGGCAGCTAGGACGGACACCGCTGGCCAGAAGACGATTCGTCCCTACTCGAAAGAGCAAGGCCGGGAGGACAGTGTCAGCGACATTGTTGCGAAACTTCTTCCCAGTCAAGCTGCTCGCCAGGAGCGTTTCTATACTCACATCGTCGGAGTGGAGGTATACAGAGGTGGGGGGAGGCTTCAGCTACCTGGCAGCGCGCGTGTCACCAGGCGAGAGGCCACCCGGCGGACGGCGATACATCCCTACATTGTTGAGCAAGGCACGCCAGAGACGGAGATGTCGACGACGGCATGATGAGCCTTCTTCCATATCGGGCTGCTCACGCGAAGGCTTCCTGTATCCACATCGTCGAGCGGCTTGCGACCGAGGCGGGCCAAGGGCCAGACAACATGGAATTGCGTCGGGACACTGAGGTAGGGCTGCGCAAGCCGCTTGCAGGAAGCATTTCTGTATATACACGGTGCGGCAGGAGGGAGTCGGTCCACAAGGCGCTAGGTGGTCCGGATGAGTCTGCCTATGCTGTGGAAAAGGCCCATGCATCGCCGACGCCTCGCACGCGCTTGTCGGTATCCACCTCAGCAAAAGGGCAATCTGGTATCGGCCCACATCCATACGGCGGGGGGTGGGAGAGTATTGTGGTGAGCATGGTAGGCATCACGAGTGGTGTGTAGTGTTGACTGACGGATACAAGTCAGTACGAGGCCTGCTCACGAGGCGTCCAAAACATACCTAGCAAGTTGGATGTCTATGATCACGGCTCAGTCTTGGAAGTACCGTCCCGTGCATTATCCACGGTGTCTTGTCCTCGAGATTCTGTAGCGTCTGCCCAGTGACCTTCTGTCCGCAGGCTAGTATCAGCCTCGCGAAGGTGTCTGCGCACTTGCGATGGCTGCATGTTGACCGGGATTGGGAGTGTGGCACACAGAACACAGACGTGGGGGATAGGACGGCACAAGACTATGGTGAGATGAGCTGATGTCCTGTGTCCGTGAGGAGGCAACGACAGACCATATCATCCGGCAGTGCGGCATTGCCGTAATCATCCTCCTCCGTGCACTCCATTGGAGGGCCGGCCCTCTTCTCCATCCAACCAGGTTAAACGGTGTTGACCCAAGTGAGAGTGAGGAAGACGTAGACAGTGCACAGGATGGGGAGGGGACAGTCGCAACATCGGAGCCTTCCCACAAGCGCTGGGATAGCACTGCGTGACTATGGGAGTGCTGATGAGGTAGAGGGGAAGTGGGCAGTAGATTCACTAACCATGACGCGTTAGTTCGAGTATATCGGTGCAAAAGACACAACAACATACACGTCTCATTTAATGCTCCATCCCAGTCTGTTGCTCATACTCCTTCTGCTCTCCAATAACTCCCGCCCTTCGCCTTAAATTCGTAGTTGCAGCTGGTGGTGCACGGGGCAGACAGTGAGAAACACATGTAAGTCGCCATTGACCCTGAGGGGAGAGACGGTAGGCGGGCGCAGGGCACCAAGGACCGAGACGGAAGCAGAGGATCATGGAGAACGATCATAGAACTGGGACAGAGAGTCCGACTGCACTACTGTTAGCGACCGAGTCCTCGTTGACAAAGCGCACGACGCGGACGCACCTTGACTTGCGTTGGCGTGTGGCAGTGTCAATTGCCTAGATTGGACGATGTGGCGGATCTGTCTACGCGGTCAGCATTCTCCCTTGTTCGTCGCAGCAGCGCAAAGAAATCTACGCAGCTATAGATTCAGACCGTATAACTATGATGCAGCCGAGGGACGAGCAACGAAGGACAGATGGGTGTCTGAGCGAGCAAGCAAGGGTGGCAGCAGATGGGCGATGGCGGCAGATGGGTGATGGCGGCAGAGCAGAATGTATGGTCAACCAGTCGAGCATAATGAGGGCATAGTGACGGGCTAGGGAGGTCGACTAAAGTGAGAACCAGCCTTTATACTTGACAACCCCTCACTTGATCCCCGTGTTGACAGCCACCTTCCAAGCGACTGAAGCCAGAATCCCGCCCGAGGACAGGAAGGCTTGTCAACAATGTTGGTCCGATGGGCCCGGATTGCGGAGATTATGCGTCGTTCAATTTGATCCAGGCATAATCTCCGTACTCCGAGATGCTCGGACCCACTGCGAAGCTGTCAGAGTGAAACATCCTGGCACAGCCCTTTCAATCCTGTGCAGTGTAAGAAGGCTCACTTCAGAGGTTGGAATTGCGTGCAAAGTCTCAAATCTCAGTAATGTGATTCACTATAATCTCAGAATACCAAGTAGATACGGTCACAACCAGTCCCTCATGAGATTTGAAGTCTGAGGTCTCACCCTGGTACTTAGAGCCTAAGCTTCCCAGCTTTCGAAGTCCTGTCAAGCTTGGCAGCTCCCTGACGGGATACAGGGTGTCACCCTGTCTTCGGTACACGAAGACTTGGAAGTGTACACTCTGAAACACACTCTCAGATCAATATAGAAATTGACTTACCAGGAACTATCTGGCATGCTATGGAAGCTGCCGCTTTGAATGCATACCAGACAGTTCCCTGGGGAGCTGATGGCTACGGAGCGGACTCAGCTCACACCGGGGTCAGTCAAAGCAACACCTCGTTCAAGCTCGTGAAGAGTACGCAGCTGCTGCACGGCTCCGGTCATCAGGAACACAGTGACTCAGATGACCAACTACAATCAGATTGTCAATTGCGAACTTTGCCGATGCCGCCCTTCTGATTATTCTCGGGACTGTAGAGAACTCGGATACTGCATTGTGACGCAAACTGAACCAACACCCATGCCGCAATGAACCGGCGACAGTCTATTTTTCAAACATGGTGAGCTCGTAGTTGGACAACAAGTGCTAGGACCAGACCCGCGCAAGTGATACCTTCGCAGTGAATGTTAAACCACGGTGTGTTGAGCACCCTTCAGCACCTTTGTCCGGGACAGCGCCAGGCAGCTAGCTTACCGTCTTGCCCACTCGGAGCTCTGCTCCCAGTGCACCGAGCTTGTTTCCAGACAAGAGAGGAGTTTTCTTGCAGGTATCGAGACCGGTCTATCAGCTCTCGCTACAGCTCTAGGACGTGCAGGTGATGTACCTTGACCTGCCTCTTATCGCATGACTGATTAATATCGAGATGCGAGGAGCAAGAAGCGTCACTGGTGGCATCGGGGATACCAGTGAATACCAGCTGCGTACCTGCCATCATGCTTCGGACTGACCATAGACCGGCTTTGGTACTATTACGGTTCAGTCGGTATCTCGTTGACAAGGCCTGACAGTAATTACTTCAAGTAATACTATGAGAGCTTACACTCTTGGCAGTGCCACGTACTGTTATTCCCCCTAAACAGGAGCACGACGTCCTGAGCAGCAAGAGATGGGCTGCGATGATGGGTCCCTGATACAGCACCATTGAATAAATGAGCAATGAGATACGGGCTTACAGATGGTGAACACATCTTACGTGCTACGTTCGAGCCCGACATTCAGAAACAAATGCCTGGACGGCGAGGGATGGGCTGCGATGACGGGTTTCTACTACAGCATGGTCACAAAGGAATGAGGAGATGAACGAGCACGTACAAATGGACTGCGATGACGGGATCTTCCAGTGGGGACAGATTCGGAGGATACGCACGAACACTAACCAATCACACACGTCTTTGTATGCACTATAGATCAGCTTGAACAAGCCCACCGTCGCAGCGCGATGTTCTGAACGGCGACAGATGGGCTGCGATGACGTGTCTTGAGCCGCCCATAGCACCCTAGACATTATATGACACGACGGGTTGCTTACCATTACTTACATCATACTGCGTAATAACTGTGTCGTTGTAAGATGTTCTGGGACGTCCTGAACGGCGACGGATGAGCTGCATTGTCGCAGAATGCTTGCTGGTTAATCACAACCCACTGCCTGTCCTTGCCAGTGAAGCTTTGAAGGCCGAGGCTCGAATCAATATTCGACGCCGATTGTAGACAGCGTCCGAAATCATATCCAGTGATCATCCAGGCGTGCATCTGCTGGAGAATGCACTCTCGACGGACGCGGACAAGGCTCGATTGCAACTCCGACGCACAACGCGTCTCGAGCCCGACGCGTCTTGTGCTCCCTCTAACTCTCGGTGATTTGCACGCTTCCGTACATCCCGACCGACTCTCAGCTTATGTTCAATGTTCATGGTCTGAACGAAGCTGAATTTCTCTTTTTACGCGTCTTAACGGCTCCGCGGGACTGGTTCGTGCTGCGCGAGAAGCCTTCGAACAGCAAGTAACATATCTATGTTATTGCTGCTGCAGCATACGATGGCAATGCTGGACACCGACATTCATCCAGAGCCTATTCAGTAGATAGGCGCGTTTGACTGCCTCTGACGACATTCAGAGATCTACAGAACCCATCAACCTCAGCTGTCCGATCCTGCAGTGATGGGACCTGCCCCTGACTTTGACTGCACGTCGGTGGCCACGCAGCTCGTCGAGGACTGCGCTACGGACGATTCTGAAGGCAGCGCGATGTGGAGGGATGCCGAGGCAAGTGGGGAAGACAACGGAGCTTACGCGGTGCGTCTTCCTGTTCGTACGCTTCGCCTACGGACCTGCCGATTCTGTTCCTATGCCACGGAGTGGAGTTACCGTGCGCGTACGAATGCGCGGCCTCTGCTCTCTGTTGACGGAGATAGCGTTGTTTTGCGCCATCTCCGCTGACAGCGGGGATGGGGCAGTAAATTCAGTTCTCGGACGGCCCTCGATGCTTGCGCGCGCATTACACATTCCCCGAAGCTTCGCTCCATCCCATGGGCGCAGGAGTGAGTATCCGTACTGTCTGCACTGAATTCCCTGAGGCTCGGCCTACCGTCTCGTATGCTGTGAGTGTCTATTTCGTCGCCAATCATAGTCAGCCTACGGCGTCGGTGCATCGGCTGGTCAACACGAAGCAGAACTCGGCAGAGGGGAGCTCTTACCCTTGCCGAGAACTGTCGCGCCTTGCGCGGTTTCCGCGGACGAATGAGAAGCGGAAGCAGCCGATCGTTGACTCACTCCGTCGAGGAGTAATGGCGTCGGCTTCCCCTTCGCATTCGCCGCAGTCAAGAGGGAGCTCGTCTTCCTACCTGGCACGAGTGTCACACCGCTGCTCGTTTGCGAAGCAGGTACGTGCCGTGCACCCGCGTTGTTGATTGAAACGCAGAAGCTAGTCAACGGCGAGTGCTCCATTCCTGCTGGTCTGACATGACAGCAGGAGTCGCACCGATCGATTGTTCTCGTAAGGGTTCATGTTGATTTGTTGATTCGTCGGTCTTCTCATATCGGTCAGCCTCTTCCGCTCCTCTCGGTAAGGCCAGATGCTATCCAAGGTTCATCCTCGTATGTAGGGGAATTCTCTGGTCTCCCAGCGCAGTACGATGACTCTCGTTTGATGTACATATTCACGAATATCCTGCAGGAAAGCACCGCGTCTGGCGCGTCCGAGGTCTAGAAGGCTACCCAGACGTCAGTGATGGAAGCTGGACGGCGGGTGCCGCTCGCTGCTTTCTCCCGCGGGAGAAGGCACCCGCCACTCCGCGTCCCTGCTTTGCGCCGTTGACTGAAACATCGAAGCGCGTCGGCCATTCCTCTCCATTCCGACTACGCCGGGAGAAGCTGACATCAATGCTTCTGGTAAGGATCCTCTCGGGCTCCCTGTTGATGCTGATACGCCGCGCGAGACCTTCCCTGGGACGCCGTCGGCGGGGAGGGTGGCAGCATTGCCGGTCGGGGGGATGGATGGAAGTCGGGCCTTGCGAGGTACGTACGTCCACGGATTCACCCACCAGCCTTCCCCGCTCGTCGGGGGCGGAACGAGTCGATTCTTTCCGTCGTCTCGGCGGCCGCCGGCTGCGTCTGAAGACAGTGGTTTGGCTTCGCCACCGTCCGCGGTGACGAGTCTCTTCACCAGTGCTACGGGTGTCGCAGCAGAAGTGCTAGACAGTCAAGCCGCGGAATGGCGAGTCGGAGTCTGTTGCCCCGTGCGTCCCGCGGTTGACAGACGCGGAGAAGCACGCGCGCTTCCCCGAGTCCGCCAACGCCTAGATTCCCCATCTCCCAGCCTCTCGTAAACGCTTCCAGGTCCCCGCGCGGCGCAATTTTCCAGCCGCTCGATGGCGAGCAGGGAGGGAGGGAAGGAAGGCGGGGGCGTTTCCGGCGATCGCGTTGCATTCCATTCCGCTGCCGTCGTCTGGGGTCGGGGTTCGGGGTTTGTCGAGTGTGGGTGGTATATATGCTGCGAGTCGCCGTCGTGGCTTTGTCCATCCCTCCACCGCATCCCCCTTCAGAGACACCCGCATACTCTCGCCCGCTCATCCTAGTCGTAATTACCCGGTCGTCTACGTTGGATGTGACACGTCGCTTGTTGAGTATGTACCCTTGCACGCTGAAAGTGCCTGCTGACAGAGTGATTGCGATGCACTGCCACGAACCTCCGCGTGTACTAGACTATGCTGGTAAGTCACGCAGCACATCCGCTGCTCTGCGCTGACGTGAGATATCTAGAGGATGCTTCCGCGTGTACACGGCCGCTTACTCCCGGTAGCGTGTCACGTCCACACAGTCTGCATTGACTGGTCACTAATATTATCCCCAGTAGAAATAATACACCAACAGCCAATCAAATTGCGGATATCGTCGGGTACGCGCACTCCGCATCCGTACGCTCACAGCTGACCGCCATCCTTAGGATCCTATAAATGCAGGAACATGACGACACCCTACACCTTGGACCCGGCTCTGGGCACTTCTGACGCAGGGCACGCGGGGCTAGTCGGGAGCGTCGACGCTCTTCCCGCCCGATAAGCCACTCACGTACGTGCACGCCTCCTACTACGACTAGTCACTGACGTGCATTGCAGGGACACTAGTGCGATCGAACGACTCTTTGCGCACGGCCGTTCAAGCCTGATACATGCTGCCAGCACTTTTAAGTTGAAGCTCGTGACTGAACTCGATCCATAGGAACATAGTAAATACTCGAGGTTACATAGTGACATACATAGTATCGTACACTAGCCCGCACCGTCCACGGGCTCTCGCGAGCCACCCGAGCTCGTCGCGTGCCCTGCGAACACGTCGTGCCGGCGTCTCGGACGCGGCGGTAGCGCGTCGCTCGTGACCCCACACGCCGGCGTCGAGTATGGGCCCTCGCGGCGAGGTCCGGTCTGAGGCCATGCGCGGACTGCCAGCGATTCGATGGCAGTCCGAAACACGACCCCAGCCGAAGTTGAACCGGCGCGTTCACGGGGGAGGGTCCGCACCACGACGCGAGCGGATCGGCGCACACCCCTGAGCCTGGACCGACATACGGGACGACCCCTGAACATAGATGGCCACCGTGGCGAGCGCGCAGTGAGCGTCGCGGACGTAGAGTGGTGGGAGAGTTGACAAAGCCAACGCCGTCGGCGCGGAGACGATGCGCCGGTGCCCGATCAACCATGCTGGCGGCAACCCACCCTGGGTGTAGGGACGGTGCACGGCGTACGCAGCAATGCGGAGCCCCCTCGATGGGCTTTGCGTGGCGGTGGCTGTTGCATACATTCATGGGGCGCCGTGCAGCACGGGAACGGAGCGGTGGCGCGGCGGCGACGGCGATACGCGGACGTGTGGGTTGGCGGTGGTGTCGCAATATTGTCAGTAGATACAAGCAACGAAATACGACATGCCACGTACGATTGGACTGTCACACGCACGCAGCCCGTTGTGTTGACCATGGCCCCGCCCCACGTCCCGCTCTCCCGCGATTCTCTTATTGCAGCTCAGGCGCGTGGCAGGCGTGCTTGACGTGGCAGATGCAGGGGGACGGACTTGCAGTAGACGAGCGGAAGAGAGCGGGCGTCGACGGGCCGGCGACTCGCAGTACATAGCACCGCCACCGTGCTTCCCGAGGCGCGATCGACGCGCCTAGGAAGCGATGCTAGAGAGCGAGTGAGGAGCGGGCCTCGCAACAAGGCTCATTCACCGTCCAGGCCCCGGTCCGCTGAGGCTTCGATCTCCCCAACTCGTTTAAATCCAGACCCTCGTCCGAGAATGAAAAGAAGTTTGCGCGGTTCTGTATGCGCGTTCTGACCACCGATCGTCGTTCTCCGAGCTTGTTTCCCTCTCCCCGGCTCGCATCGTCCCCCACTCGTTCTTTCCCCCTACGCGCCATGTCGCTCTCGTCGCTTGCTGATGCGTTCGCCCCGTTCATTAGGGAGATCCAGTCGACCCGGTACGCGGAACGTAAGTCATAGCATATGTCGACATAATCGCTAGCGTCCCGCTCACGTCACCCCAGTCGCGTCAAGCGCTATCGTAATATACGACCATTGTGAGTGACGCTATCCCTTTCGCAGAACGCGTCTCAGGTATATGCCCGCAGTGATCACCTTGGACCAGGAGGTGAGCTACCCCTAGCTTGTCTCTCCGCGAGACTGACGGTGCATCTCAGATAGACCTAATATGGGTGCGCTCGCCTTGCGTACCATCCACTCTCACCATCTGAACTCCATCTCCCCGTCTTCAGAAGGCTTCATGGACACCCGGAAAAGTATTATTCTTAACGGTACGCATACACACGGTTATCCCCTCGTCGCAAGGCGTTCCCAACGTCCGCGCGTGCAGAACCGCTATTACGTTCTTGCAAGTGTAATGTGAGTGCTGCATCTATTCACTCGCCAGGCCCGGTTCCTGACGCATGCGGGTCCGTGTCGCAGATTCAACAACTACGGTACGCGTCTTCCCTGACTTGGACCGAAGGTTCCGCTGATATGCGGCTCCAGAACAGTTCTCTTCACCACACATCTCTCCGACTCGGTATGACATCATTCAATCTCATGTCAGAAGTGTTCTAATCCGTGATATGCAGTTGTACGTGCCTTCGTATCAAAGAAATTTTGCAGAATCAATCTCACATTGCTCGCTGTCTTTTCCGCGGGATTAGCTGTATGTCTCCGCACTGCTAGCATGCACGTACGTCTGACCCACCGTGCAGGCGTTAAATGGTTTCGATGGCAAGGCACGACGGGCTTGCTAGTGTCCACGATAGCCGAAAGTAAGTCAATTGCTCTCTTGTCCCTCTCAGGGCCCGTGACACCGCGCAGACGGCTTTGAATTCCATGTGTGCTGTGCTCAGTGCTGTGTTTTCAAAGCTGTCGGCGCGTCTAGCCTCCATCGAGCCACTCGAAAAGCAAGGGGGGGGGTCTCTGTAGGATAGATGTCCCACGGAAGTCCTGTCAGACGGTCACAAAGAACGGGCTTCTATGTCATACCCAAACTGCCCATCTCTCCCTCGCTCCGTCGTATACACTCATCTTACACCCACTCTCCGATAGTCATCCTCCAACTGCGACTCTACGCGCTGTACCACCTCAACCGACGCGTGCTCGTGCTCATGTGCGGGGCGTTCCTGGTCTCAGCAGGCACAGCGGCCGTGATCATGGGCATGGTGCTCGCGCGTATATCAGGTGCGTCTCCTCCGCGCGTCCTCTCCGCGCCCTTCCAACGCCAGCCAGCGCACTCGGGCCTCATCCCGGGCCTGCCGTTCTGCATCCCCGTGAACGTGCCCTCGTGGTTCTACACGTTCTGGATCCCGACGCTCGGCTTCGAGAGCCTGCTCTGCGCGCTCGCGTTGTTCCGCGCGTTCAAGGACTTTCGCAGCCGCACGAGCCTCTTCCAGAGCGGGCGGCACATCGTGAAGATATTGATCCGGGACTCGGTGATTTATTACCTCATGTGCGCGCGTTCTCTCCTGCTCGGACTCGGGCCTGACGGTGTTTAGTATGTTTGCGACGTACTTTACCAACCTCGTCATATTCCTCACTGGCAACGTGCGTCCCGCCTTCCGCCCTTCTCTGCTCACCACTAACACCCCCCAGGTTGGCGTGCTCGAGTCCGGGATCGGGTTTGCGGTGACGATGTCGTGCGTGATGGGCAGCCGGCTGTGCCTGAACATCCGCGACGTGCACCACGAGCTGGAGGTGTCGACCGCGTCGCAGCAGCAGCAGCAGCAGCACCTCACGCAGCCGTCGTTCGTGTCCGGCGGGCGGAGTGCGTACGGGACGGCGAGCCGCGGGACGAATATCGTGGTTTCGAGCACGTATGCGCTGACGGAGTTTGAGCTCGTGGAGTTGCGGAATTTGCGGGCGCAGGGGAAGGTGTAGGTGGCTGTCTTATTTTTGCTTGTTTTTGCCACTGGCCGGTGTTGTTATCGCTCGCTGCTGTATAATTTCGCTCTGTCTGTATCTTACTATACAACACACTACTGTAAGGACTAAAACTCATGAGCTGAGGACATGGATATGAGCTGCCGCCACATTGATCGACCGATCAGCGCGGGCAAGGTGTTAATGTCGTGGATGTTTTGGGGATACGTCAGGTAGACATGACAGTGACATACACAAGATGATGGCATATACATGACGTCAAGTAACGGGTCGGTGAAATTAGTTAGCGAATCTTGGTCACCGATGCGGGAGCGGAGACGGTACTCAGACTGGCTCACAATATATCGTTGGGATACAGTATGCGGGACTTTGACGAGCGGGAGGGAAGTGTACTGCAAAAACAAGAAGGCCTCTAGGGCAAAGCGAGCCAAGGAAGCACGAAGTACCAGGTGAGTCCAAGCAGGCAAGAGCAATGTTTCGTAAGGCAAGTAGATGTTGTGAAATAAACCATATATAGCGGGGCTGTTGGATACTGGTGAACGCACCGGAAGCGCAATCTACAATAAGGCCCGTAAAGCATGAATGCGGCAGAAGAACGGTCTCAGTATACTATGACGTGGGGCGTACATCGGGAGGCTCCTTCTTGCCATCCGCGAACTTGAGTATTAATCACGAGCCACGGATATGCATATGCCACACTCGCACTCGGGCGGGGCAGCGAGCCACAGAGTATCAGATCTATTGGAAACCCTTTAGAGTACTGCATACTGCGGCATGGGAGGATACAGTATATTAAGAACTGATTTAAGAGGACGAGCTCACTACAGCTCCTCCTCTGTCGCAGGGAACCAACAGGAACGCAATACCTCTTGGTCAATCCCGACCGCCATCAGAGCGTGCTCCAGTTCTCGTGGTCTCGTTTCAAGAGGACACCCCTCCCAGTCCCCCCAGCTCTGCAGCGCGAAGGCGAAATCAATCATGACAATGTCCGGGGCCAGCGCGGGGTCGTCGGGATTGGGGGGACAGAGGATTTGGTCGAGATGCCAGTCCGTCTGGTGAATTCCTGCGAATCTAAGAGCTCTTAAAGCGTGTCGAAGACGCGTGATCTGAATCGACGAGTAGAGATATCTATCGTCGGCGCAAGCCTTGAAGCGAGAGAAGTATGACGAATACGTACCAAGTCGGTTAGCTGCTCATGCTGTGGCTTCATGTTATTGCGCATGTACGTTGCTAGTGTGGGGCCGCTTATGGCCTCCACAAGCATTCCGTACACCGGCCACCCACCTGGAAGAAGGAACTGTGACGAATGGTGTTAGTATGGGCTATACCTCGGCAGCAAGTACATGCCTTGTGAAAACCGTAGCAATGCGGGAGAAGACTGCCTTGAAGGTACTCGACGCGCTTGTAGGCAGCTTCTTCTCGGCGGATCATGTCGATTGCCAGGTTAAAGTCGAGGAACCTCTCATGTGGAGGGTCTGCAGGATCCCAGCCGTCCGCTGGCAGAGGGAAGAAGCGTTCGTCGAAGAGTTTTAGGAATAAGAGGGGTCCCACTCCGTTGAACCGCCCCCAGAATGTCTGAGAGTACTTTTCAGGGCCGACGGACCCCGTTCCGGTGATTTCAAACCAGTGATGGAGTTGGCTCGTATCTTGCGTTGGTCCTAAGGTAAGAAAGCCATGCAGGTCATTATCCCGAGGCCGAAAGTGGCGCATCACGAGGGCCTCCGTGTCAGGAGGGACAGGGACAAACGGGCGACCCTCGGGCTTCCATTTGTTTATTCCTCCTTCACCAAAGATTCGTAGCTGTGTGCAGGGAAGACGGGTCCCTGGAACGAATTTCCATGGAGCGTTGCCCGACAACTCCGCTTCTTGAGTATATATCTCTGACCATATCACGTATTCACCCCAAGCTGACCTGCTTCGTTGCATTCTGTACACATCGAACTCTTCGTGCGACCTCCGAAGCAGGAGCTGCGGTAGTGGCTTGGGGACCCGTGCAGGCTGTGCGCCTAACCAAAGAAGCGAAGGCGCATAACCATCCAAAGTGCACAGTCTTGCTTGGAAGGTCTCAGCGTAAATGAAAAATGCAATGAGTCGCCGTATGGAGACCTCCGCAGTCGGATGGACTTGCATTGCAAGAATGGTATCGCCGGGATAACCAGGACGCAGTATGAGTGTTTGTATTTCGTCGGTAATTATGCCAACCACAGCATGAGTTTGCCTGCATTGGGCAATAGCATCCATCACGAGGCTGTTCATCTTGGTACCTGCTGGCACCCTGGAAGGCAATGGCCCAGCTTCGATTGAGCCTGGCTCCTGGGAAAGACCGTGATCATTTCGCTAGCAGCTTCGAGAGTAGACAGCATAATTTACCACGAAAAGTACAACACAAATGCATCTTTGATTCCTGCGCCATCCAAACAAATGGTTGCACGATACCCTGTAGGCCCTCATATCGGAGTCCGGATCAGCGACATGGAATCCTATCCTAGCGCTACGCCACAAGCCTGACGCACCCTATTCATCAGTGCGCCCGGCGGACAGAGGGAATATAGCAATACCTTCAGGTCCATTAGCCCAGGAAGCTTGAAGAGGCCCGTGTTCCATGTCGGGAGACAACAAGATACAATGAACCAGCCGCGCGACAGGCTCAAAGTATTTCTCTTCCAAGCTAGAATATATTATATAAATTACTCCAAATTGAGTATCATATGTACGATGAGAGAACTAGGTCCGCACCTCGAAGTGGCTCCAAGGTCAGGCAATTCCAGCAAGGAATACCTCATCCGCAGAAGGGTCTCATCAAACCTGTACATGGTGTCTTTGGGATTGAATATAGGGTACCAATCACCGATCCTTAGCGAAACAGCATCTGCAGCGGCGAGTTCGGACTCCGGGGAGACGCCGGCGGGTTTGCCGCACTTGGCTCTGACAGGTATTGCTTGATGTAGAAGGGCAGCGGGGGAAACAAGCATTGTAGATCGCCGACGTGGCAAAGACTAGCCCAACTCAATCGTTTCTCGTTTTCATTTTCTCGGGCGCACTGGCACCCCTCCTGCCGACGCGGCGACACGGAGAAACCCGAAGTTATTGAGTGTGCATTTTCTGGCGGGTTTCTCGTCGCATGCTAGACACCACAGCTGTCAGATAGCTTGTGCTCATCCCATATTCTCAAATAGGCATATGTTACAATTCATGTAGATACCAAATATAGTATTTTCTATCCCTCTCCGAACCTCACTCCTCTCATGGCGGATTGGGACGGTATGCGGCAGTATCAGCAGGGTCACTCCTGCCCTAGCTCAGTAGTTGCAAGGGTGCCACTGCCAGAACACAACTGAGGGCTCGTCCAAAACAAGCCAAAAACATATCGTATTAGGCAATGACATAAGCAACCGAGAGCCTGGTACATCAGTGCAGCGCATGGCAATTAAAAGTCCGCCCCAGAGAAACGAGAGAAACAGCTCCTCGAGCTGTTTCTCGTTTTCTCGCTCGCGCTGAGATCCCAAATCCGACCGCCGTTCGGCAAGGACCCCCAAAGGCTTCAGCGCACTGAGAAAATGAGCGAGAAACCCTTACAGTGCTTTGCATAAAAGTCCGGAAACTGTGTTTCGCGCGTTTCTGTTTGTCCTAGCCAAACAATACCTTATAGGGTAACGCGTCACAGAGGGCGCGACGGTTCTTCGAGTCAGCCTATATGGCTCCTGGGACACAAATGCCCGTCTCAAGGCTGAATAACGTTCCGAGCTGTATTTCTCCAGCATATCGAGCACGCAGAGGTCAAAATCCCCCAAGAACGACCCTCATACATGGATGTCGAAGCATCCCGCCAACTAGTCAGCAGCCTTCAACAGCCCGCGCTACGGTGATCGAACACCCCATATAGGTTTGTTTGGCTGGCACAAACAAAATTTCGCGAATCACGGTTTCCGGACTTTATGTAATGCAAAGTACTGTATTGGGTCGTGGCGGTGTCAGCAGGTACATGTACCGTTCTCCGGACTCGGCGCGTGCCGGGCCCGACACTTGCCTTTCTCGTCGGTGTTGCCCTGCAAATTTTGTGCTCAGACGATGGTCCAGACGACGTCGATATCTTGGGAGGCGTGCCGCGATAAATAAGGCCAAGCGGCCGTCCTTGCTATGAAATCGTCCGTTCATCGCATGGGCGACCGAGTACCTTGGCTTTATTAACCGTTTGCCACATCTGTCCCTCATGAGTCATATCCGCTCTACTCCCAAGAGTGCCACTTACGTCGACCCCGCTCTCCAGCCGTCAGCGCGTCGGCCATCCCCTATCATTCTCTTGCGAGCCACCCCTATAAGCTCCGTCTGACTCTGGACGTCGTCTCACGCAAGGAAGATCTTGCGACGCCCACAAATACGTAAAGAACGACCACGAGCTAAACTTACCACCGGTCGTCCTGGCACTCAGCGCGTTCCGTCTTCTCCGGTATACCCGTTATTCGCCGATCCGGGGACCCCCAGCGCTGGGATGCGTTCTGACGGCGCAATCAGAACATGGGTGAACAGTTGAGCTCTGACCCCCACTGATCGCTGACAGTCTTTGCGTGTGCGTTCTCATGCGTCCATGCGCTGGTTGTAAGCTCCTCCTCCCCATTGCCTGCCGATTAGTTCGCGTACGTCTCATTCCCACTGGGTCAGCGGGAAGACGTCATTTAAGCAACTCATCCAACTCTCTCGACTCGGACTTCACTTGTACATAGGTGAACGCTCATCGTTCAGATAACCCCCCCGCTCGCCGGTGTACCCGCGTCCGGTGTTGTCCGCCGTCCATCCAGCGCCGAGCGCTGATGGATGGTCACCTCTCCGGAACAATGCCCTTTGGATATCGCCTGAGCAAGATATCAGTGCGCGTTCTGGCCTGCAGAATCAGAACGTGGCTCGCTTCAGGGCCTATGATCTGAGCGCGCATGATGAGGCTGAGCGTTGTATGCGCGGTTGCGGACCCTCGCCATCCCCCTTTGGCTGGGCACGAATACCGAAGTACTCTCGAGCTTGAATATCAAATCGCAGTACATCACTGGCACTAAGCCAAGCTAGAAATTCGACGCGATCGCGCATCCACGGCACCCAGAGAACTATTATAGAACTCGTGGTCAAAGGTGAACCTTCCGGTCGTCCTGTCGCTCGTTACTCCAGCACGGCTCGCGGGACGCCATATATGCAAGATGACCCGAAGGGCGGAATCGGAATCGGAATCGACAAGGGCGAGCGGTTGAGCGTGCCTCTGCGCTCTCCCACCCGCGGCCCAGACTACCCCTGCTCGTCATCCGAATGCGGCTGTTGCTGGCGGATCGAACTGGCCCTGCTACGGAACACGCTCGACGGGCGTTGGATGCGATAGTTGCGCGTCCACGGCGGATATATCACTATCGCGCGTGATCTCGGAAGACGCCATAGGATTGAGAGCTGGCTCTGCGCGCGCCTACATATCTTTTGTCAGCACTCCCAAGTTCTGGCCTACACCCTCAGGGAGTCAAGTGGCCGCGCCGCTCGTACCGCCCGTCTGCTCCCTCCGCCGCGCTCCGTTCGGCTAACATACCCGGCGCCCTGAAATTGCGGGTGCTCGCTCGACTTACTCGAGCCGTTGGCGCCCCTCGCATTCGCAGCGCTCGTTCACTGCCCAAGCACCCCTCGCCTGACGCCCGAAAATCGCGTCCGCTCGGGGACTAGTATTTGGGCACTGGCGGATACGACTGTACCGGGACTCGTGCACGGCTCCTCCAAGCTGCTCGGGACCAGTCCGAGCCCGTGACCGTGCGGGGGTGGCCCGCGGTCCATAACAGTAAGCGCTTCCTTCGCTTATAATATTCACTGTCGTTCTGATTCCTGAGAAGGCCGGGTTTTCACGTCCGCGCGGGCGATCCTAAGCTCGTCCCCAAGCGCTCGAGGCCTACAAGAGGGGAAGGGATTCCGCTAGGCTAGAGAGGAACAGTCGCACTTTGTATCTCGTACACCCTGCGATCTGCGTATCTGGAGCCTCTTCCCAGGCCACCTCTTGCGGACGGGTACGCAGCGCTTCCTCTCAGCGGTATGGTGTTTTCATACACTGCACTTGCACCTGCCAGCCCGAGCAACATCGACGCGAGCTCGTGCCGTGCCGCTCAACTGCCACGGCATTGGTAAGAAGTGGTAACGCCGGCAGGAACTTTGTAGACGAAATGCGCAAGGGGGACAGGCCTGATGTCTGAGTCTCATTCCCTATTCAGACGTCGAACGCTCTTAGGCTCGAGTCCTCGTAGTTTTTATTCGGTAATCTCACGCAAAGATTATCGAGTCGCCCGAGCTATCATGACAATATACAGTAGAACCAGCACTGAAGATTCAAGATCGGTCATTTATGAAGAATGATAGTACATGCAAGACTGGCAAGTGGGACTTCCTCCTCCACCGGGCCCAGTGGCACCCGTACATGCCATCGGAAGGAAATGGACAGGGGCTGCTGCGTTCTGTTTCCTGATAATAGATCCTAAACTCACTCTTCCTTCCTATCCTGCACTTGCTTGAGCTCGAGCAGCAGCACGTCGGATAAACCTCGTCCGTTCGTGATCTGTGCCACGTCTAGTCGAGGAAATAGGCTATCGAGCCACAGCGCAGCATTGTACACTCTGGTACCTGTGTAGAGAAACTTTCTAATGGACAGGTGCGTCAAGACGCTCGAGCATTCCTCAGCAGAAATGATGCCCGGATCGGCACCAGTCCCATGCAGTCCCTTAGCATCCACCGAGTGCAAGTGTAGGTGCTGCAGGAATACGTGAATCCAAGGCGCGTATACGAGCCTCTGGTATGTGATCTTGCAGTTGGGGATTTCTAGACGAAGCTTCCTGAGAGAACACTATTGGAAGAGCAGATCGCGGATGCCATCGTCTGACAGGTGAATATAGGGCGCCCGACGGGGCTCTATTTCGACGGTCAGCTCTTCCAGGAGGCAGAGCAGAGTCAGAGTTCAAATACGGAAGTGGTCGATAACTTGCGCTGCCCTCCCTCGCGTCTAGGTACAGTTGTGGCAAACCCAGACTTGGGGCGGACACGGATGATGAGGATCTTGACTCACCTCACATCGATTGCGACACCGCCAGCGGAAGCGTCTTTGTGTCTCGCGCGCGGGTGCACACTGCGGGCAGAGACCGATGTCCCGCCGGCGGGCATGCCAGGAACATCTCCCTGATGGGAGAACACTTTCCTAGAATGTCCTTTGAGTGAACAAAGAAAGGTCTGCGGGACATTTACTATGGTCCCTAAAAATCAGGGGACATTTAATTAGCATTGTCCTTTCATTCTTTATGTCTGTATCTTGTTCTGATACGGAGCATCCTAGGAAAGTGTTCTCCCACCCTTGCCGTGAAAGATGAATGACCGGTGGCGGGACACCGGTCCTTGCCCGCTGTGGCATTTCCGCATGTTAGACCGTAGACGAAGAAAGCTGCAGTGATAAAAAATTTACATCGGGGCGAGCACTGGCAGTCTGCATGGATCTCAACGAGTGCGGCACGAAACTCCTGCTGCCCGGGCAGAAGGGGGTATAATAACGCTGAACTCTGCAGAGTTTTCTCACGAATGCCCTCTGTTGAACACAGAACTTCAAGGCTTCATAGACAGTACTCAGCAGCTCATCGGAGTCGCCAGCGACGTAGTCGACGAACTGGCAAATGCAGACAGCGGTGACCGTGGGAAGAGTTCGTACACCCGTCACACGGCTGCTCATTGGATAGACATTCCAAAGAAAATCGATGCAGCTTGTCAAGGGCCTGGCTAAAGTGAATTCTAGTCTGAAATTCCCCAGTCTATATTAGCTGTGTGTAGTATCCACCGACTTCTTCGAGCTATCAGATACAGTTGGCTGACCGGGAGCACATGAATGCGCCATATGGATAAAGACTAAATAAAGATGCCGGGCAATTATATTCACCATAGCCAGCATCATCTATTTATTTATCAAGTATACCGTAGACGAGTGATATTGCTGGTGGAACTACCGGTGGCATCTGCGTGGAAACCCGCGTCGACGGGTCGGGTACGGGTACGCGGGTGTCGGTTTCGAGAGCTCGTCGAACGACGCGTTCTCGAAACCGCCGGGTCAAGGGTACGGCCAAACCCGACCCGTACCCGTACCCGCCGGTACCCTTGCCCGCAACCAGCACGGGTTCCCGTAACCCGTCCTTTTCACTACTATCAAGGAATCAACGGAAACCATCTGGGGCTCACATCCAGCAGTGATAGGTTAGATCACAGTGACTTATTATCATACACTTCACAGAAGTGCGAAATACATAGTTACATCATACATGCGTTCACTGCAGTCAAGGTATTTCGGCAGTCGCTAAGAACTAGTTCATACAGATATGGAAGTGGTGAATATGGAGCGGTCCAAAATTCTCTCGCCGTGGCTACTTGCCGGCTCCCCGACTTCCCCCCGTACCTCCATGTCCCCCCTGCGGCTCAAGAGTGAGCACCTGCGGCGTATGGGATGCCCTGTTTTGCTTCTCGGTCACTTCTTTTGCCTTCTTGTTATAGTCCCTCTCCAGGGTTTCCCACATATCGGCCATGTTCTTGACAGAGAGCCACGCACCGAACAGGATCAGGCGGCGAGCACCTTGATCATCCGCATACATCCAGGATATCTCTTTATCTGAGGCCAGAGGCTGCTTAACCGGCTGAGTGCGCTCCTTTCTGTTCCCAACAACTTCTTGATCCAGTTTGCTTTCCTCTTCATCAAAGGAAACCTCCTCGCCTCGCTTGACCGCCTCTGTCTCTTGCGAGCCAGAAACATCGATCTGAACATCTTGCTTCTTGGGCTGTGCTTGCCTGGTGTAGCGCTTTGCATCTTCGTACAAAGTGCTCGGAACGAGCACTAGCAAGTTATTTCTGTAGTCACCGAGAGCGGAATAGCTGGTACCGTAGTGAACCGCATAACGGAGCATCTGCTGAAGAGATGCCCGCACCCCCTTCACGTGTCCACCATACTTTCTGGTGGGAATGACTCCTCCAAGCTTCACTTTCTCTGCACCAATCCGCATCAGCGCTTCGGCATCTATCTGTCCCAATTTCTGTATTCATATATGCAGAGTCGGCTCCTGGTCAAACAGAATGAAGTGTATGACACATACCTTCGCTTCATACGGGAGTAAGTTCAACTCTATCTCCCAAATTTCTTTGTCTTCATGGGCTTCAGTCAGCATACTTTTGCTGGTGGTAGGTTTCTCCGAAACCATCTCTCTGGCCACCGCATCCTGCCTTTGCCTCATCCCACGAGTCACATGATTCTTCCTCTCGAATATGACCGAGAATATGAGATCTGTGCGGACGCCCCCGGCAACATCTCTCTGATTAACAGAACTCCAGTTCTCTGCAGGGAGCTGAATATAGGTGTTGTAGGCCATAGTACTTGCGGCCTCCCGAAGACGAAAGGTAAGGGACTGGTTCGCAGCATGGACTTTCTTGTCCTCGACTTTTTCGGGCTCCATCAACTGCCAAATGGGATGCACCAGTTGCGAATGCAGTGCTGTTCTGGACAAAGGTCATGGCCTATCATATGAACACGATAAGATTTGCGTACACCGTGGAGCCTTCGCTTTCAATATACTTTGTAGCAATACGAAGTGTCTGCGGAACTATGTCCACGCTCTTCAGCAAAGCTTCAAACGTTTCGAAGTCTACATGTTCATTGAGAAGCATGGGGGCCTTTTTCAGGGTGTAGTCGGAGAGAACTTGATTTGCCCACAAGGCCGTCTTGGAGCGGCCCCTATCACCGATATTCGTGTCGAGTAACCCTTTCCCCGGCGCTCGATAAACCTGGGGTAAATTAGAGGCTACCCAAGCCTCTGATTTTCCGGGTACTGAAGTCATTGTGCGTCGAGGCTGTTGGATGCTGAGTGGGGAGTGCTGCAGTATTCAATGCTGCCTCTACAGCAAGACTGGGTGGTTCTTATATCACTACATCTGCTAATGCGTTTGTATTCTCGGTGTATCCGGCACACCAATAGAAGCTTGTATTCATATTCCGAATACAATGTATGGGTAATTAGGGGAATTCTTAGGACCTGTTGCGGAAGATGTCGTCAACAGCAGTTGATTTGCATGTAAGAGTCAGATCATCTTACAGTTCCTGATGGCAGTGTGACCCAACCCCTCTGGGCCCCCTATATCCTCGTCTCAGAGGATCAGGGTTGGACTCATACCTCCCTGCGAATACTGACAGCTCGATTTGGGGACATTGTGAGAAGAGGCCCATAAGAGAATGAACAAGGAACCCCTGCACAACATCGGCCGAGGTCCGAGCCTTGTTCATTGCAGAAATCAATGAACTCAAATGGTCTCGTGGCGTTCATGCGAAACAACTAAAGTTCTCAAGAAAAGCGGAGCATCCGAGTAGCACGGTTTTCCAGTGGGTTCGTCAGCTAAGTGATCGAGCTAGGACAGTATCTGCATCACAACCCGTGAGACCCGCACCGGAGCGTAAGAACAACAGATGAAGATAATGGTACTCGACACAAGGAGTGGAATCAGTTGTTTCAAACGACTGTGTGGCGCTAATTAACACGTGGCATCTCCAAATGCCACCTTGAGCCTCAGAACCATAGTGTTCAACGCCAAGGTATAAATGCCTGCTGCCTGGATATATGGACTGCATAGTACGTCCCGGCATGTATGATTCGCTTAAGTCTGTCCCTGGCACGAGTTCACGCTCTCGCTCTCCCTCCGACCTGAAGCTCTACGTCAATGTCGACAGTCGCTACGGAGGACGTCATCTGGTTTCTCCAACAGTCTATTTGTCTTTCGCTGTCCCAGTATCTGCAGTGGATTGTAGCTCCAGATTCCTCAACCTCGAAGCCAGAAGCACGGCCTGTGAACATGCTGAAGCCATGGGTTCCGACCTGTCAGCAGACAGCGATGAAGATCCACCTACTGTTCTTAAGGTGCACAAGTGGTGGAACGAGCTCAGTCTCTCCTATCAGTTCCGATTTGATAATATGCTTTTGAGACTGCGGTCATGTCTTATTGATTGTCGGGATGATTACCTCTTGACTGCGAATAGGTGAGTTTCGAGTCTGATTGAGTCTCCTTATAACTGGGGTATACCAATAGCCTGATACCCTTGCCATTCTAGTCCCGTTACTGACAAATATTTGCTGCCGGTACTACGTTTTGCGAACCGTGATATCTTTGATGGGGAGAGTGATCTTGGGCCTCTGGAACTGAGAGAAGTGGCAATGACGAATGGTATACAACATCCTGTCTTAGCAATACTATCCTCAAACCTTTCCCAGTTATAGGTGAAGCTTTCATACTGGGATTCCATATTCATGACAAGACCCGAAGCTGGGATCCCAATCCCAAGTTCACCCCACTTATTGCAAAGCCACCTATGAACAAGAGGGCCTTGATAGCTGGGATATTCCTGGTGAGCTGCACTATTCATTTGTTTGCAAAGCTCAGACAATTAAAGTCCTTCGAATTGGAGAAATCTGGCATAATACACCGGGATGACTTGACTAGCGACTCCTACCCTATTATGATTCCCTCGGGAAATGGGATCGGAGTGATTATCTCAGAACTCAAGCGTTTATGTAATGCAACCGGTGCCACGTATGGCTTCTTGACCGACGAGGTCACCTCTGTCGTCTATGATAACTCCACGCCTCAACCGCTGGAACGGGTGATCCTGCAAGTCGTCGATCCCACGGACATATCCGTCCGTATGATGATGTCAATCCTGCTATGGGTTGAAGCAAACCGGTTTGGCATCCATGCTACAAGTATCTCGCCCCGTCCCAGTCCGTACCAGGGCGCCTTGTGGCAACAGTGGCTTAAGGTTCCCAGCAGCGGGAAAATGGAGGAGCTTGTGCTTTATACCCGCGCTATAAGCCCAAAACGCGGTATTCTCAAGAGAACATTCTCTGAGTTCGACATCTACACTCTGCAGCGCTGTCCAGGTGCATGGGACGGCTTCGTCGAATGGAAACTGGCCGTGGAAGCAGAGGCGAAGGCATCGCCATTGAAAGTTGGAGACACCCTGAAGGTCCATTGGGATGCAATCGAGAAACGATACATGCTCTGGCGCGCCGAGCCTGACGCCTACTACCATGAGATTCCCGAAGAGTCGGCTCGCATTGCGCTGCGGTACACCAGACCGAAGGACCGTTCACTTCAGGCTTGGGCGGCCAAAGTGAAGCCCGGTGAACTATGCTTCAAGATAGAGGAAGTCAGAAGTGCCGGCTCCGGGCAGTTCTCTCAGGTCTTCTTCGGGAGGTTATGCGGCAAAGGACCGATGCTTTGTCTCAAGCTTTTCGATGAGCGCTACTTCCCTTTTCCTGGTGACCCTAGGGATAAGGATGGTCCGAAGGTAAAATTTGAGACCACGCATGCAAGCGAGCTGCTCATGAACCTTCATTTTGCGGTGGATATGATCCGTCGTGAGGAGTCTGTCTATGACCGGCTCAAGGACTTCCAAGGCTCTTTCATTCCACATTGTTACGGGTTCCATACTGTGAGTGATATCTTCCCCAGACCAGTTGCTGAGATGATACCTTCACATTTTACCAGTTCACACTGCCGGGTGACACCTGGACGTTCCCCGGCATACTCATGGAGGTGATCGAGGGACCTGAATTCGCCGATTGCGATCCACGTGGGTGGACCATGGAGGAGCAACGAGATTTCGTGAGTCGTGCTATACATTTGTCTTTCAGTGGTTTCAGGGGCTGACACCTCTCCTAGGTCACCCATGTACGGCACTGCGAGCGCGTATTCAAGTTCGCTGAGATCGAGCAGACCGACTGGAATGAAGGGCAGCTGCTGTGCCCCGTGGACTCCTCTGGCCAGCGGCACGCCGTGTTCATAGATTTCGCGTTTGCGAATCAGCGTCTGGGGGAGCATAGAGGGAAGCCACCCACGGATGACGCGGTATTGCTCAAGGTTCTTCTTCTGGATTCCGCAATCAATCCTCATGTCGTGGATGAGTGCTGGTTTCCCTTAGTCGACGAAGAGCGGTGAGAGGGTGCTGCACTATGATTTCGTGACCTTCTGCTATATATGGCGCTTTGACGAACATGGGTGCTATTGATTTCTTCTGCAATGTAATATTGTATGGCTACGTGTTCCGTTGTAATTTAAAGTGAGATTTAGTGAACTGAGACGTCCTACCCTGAGATTTACCAGATCCCTCCAGCCTCACCATGTTCGCACTCATCATGCGGCTGAAGTCAGATTGGAAAGATCGAGAGCTGTGATCTCCAGCGCGAGAGCAGTACTAAAGGACTTGCTCTGATTATTTGGAAGGTCTCTTTTGGCATGCAAATGGGTGCTACCTCTCATGGTTGAGCACGGTCAGGGCACCCGGGTGGAGGGGTACACGGTGGTAGCTGCTTACCAAGAACGCGGACTCGGAGACTGCTCGGGAACGACCTCTCAGTACGAGTCGTGGGGATATTCTTATTTGAAAAGGCGACTCACCGCAGGTCGTGTATGACACAAGGCTGTGCGGATCCTGGCACAGAATAGTGCGACCTTTGTCAGTTATACAATCTTTCTCCAGAAACTTGATTGAAGGCCTTTCGTACGTGCACTATGCTGCGCTCCATCCTTTGCACAGGATGAGTAGTCTTCTCACTTAGGAAACGTCGAAGACCCCTTTTTTCGCTACCTTACATATTCCTTTAGTTCAAGGTGAGCTTCTCAGCATTGACGTGCCCCCATCCATCTTATATATGGGCTATGTGATATATCAGTCTTCTGTTAATACAGTACTCACTCGTACAGGTCAGGTGGCTAGGATTTTCTGAGTGCGTGGCGAGACGAGTCAAGGGACCTATCGAGCAAATGCAGATATGTCTCAATTACAGGACTTGATACATCTATTTTTCGCCGAGTAGTCCTATGGCTACTGTGTTCAAGAGCTGGTACTTCCCGCAGTGCTGTCAGTCATCTCTGATAGAGGAGAGATGATCAGGTGAAATCCCAGCTTGGAAGAGAATCCAATCAAAATTTCCATCTCATAAAATGCTACTACCTATCTCAGTATGTGATACTGCTGCAGGGCGAGACGCAATCGACTGCCTCAAACTCCCAGTGATAACTATACACGTGAACCAGAAATAGGTCGTACGCGTGGGCGTCACAATCCTAGGTTAGAATTTCTATCGCTTCGTTGATCAAATACCTGTATGTTTCCAGGTGTATCCATAGTCTCTGGCTCCCTTCATTGTGCTGCTCACGTACCAACAATCTCCTTCCAGACTTCCAGCCAATGAGCAGCTGCGAAGCCAAACAGGCAGGTGTACGATAGCTTCTCACGGCCTCCGCTGCTTGCAATGGCGAGCGCGTGCTCTGCCTCGACGCTGGCCTGCTTATTGGCAGCCAAACGACGTCTCTCATCCACCGGAAGACATTTGGTGACAGGTCTTATAAATTTCAGCGCAATTGAACGTGTTTATCTATTTCTTTCCTCCTGCGCGCGACAATAGCGTCCGAAGCTGCCTCATTGTCTCCGCCCGTGCTGCAGCAGCTCAGTCTGCACTGCTGGGTCGAGCGTCTATCGCTCAACCATGCCATATCCCTCAAAAGGCTGAAACTTCTTTACGCCCACACCTAGTCGGCTAAACAACATGCAGGCTGCTCGTAATGATGTGAACTTGTCGACGCTGCAGCTTTCTTCGTCTACGGTCGAACATGCGACCATCGCGCCCGCCCGGACCGCGTCGTGGGTCCGCAATCACTCTTCCGCGAACGTCTATCGCGCACCGTCGCAGGACCAGAGGTTGGTGCCGTCGATGTACCTCAAAGATGAAGAGGAGGATAGAAGGACGATTGCGAGTCTCCCGCCGAGGATGCTCATGAAGTACGGGGACGGGAGACCGGATGAGATTATCTCGGCGGAGTACTATATTAATGGCAGAAATACGAGGAGGGTGAAGCAGGCTAACGGTCACGGTGAGTCTATCCGTTATACTCGTCTGTGTCCGGCATGGAACTTCAGGCAGGTACGCAAGTTCGTCCAGCGAAACGGCTTCCGACTACGAACGTCCACGCTCCCCCCATGCAACAATCGGTGTCCCACCCTCCTTCCACCTCCCGTCACCCTCACCCGTCTTCGTATAATACACTGCCGCGTCACACGTCCCAGCGCAGGCCCGCGAGCACGATATCCAACGACCCCCTCCCCGTCCCGCCGCCAGGATTCTCCAAATCGCTGTCAGAGTCCAGCAACGGTCGCTCGCACGTCCGCTCCTCCTCAGTACCTTTCCCAAACGGGCACCAGCTCGGGAACACCCTCGACACGCGGTTTCTGGAGAGCAGGAGCGTCGGCGGGGACGGGATCGGCGCGGGTAGCAACGCAGGGGTGCCCGCGAGCATCCTCGAGAGCACTGTTGGTGGAGGGCGGCAGGGGCGCAGACGCGGTGCTGGTCGCCCCGGACACGCACGTATGGCAAGCGACAGCGGACCGCGTGTCGATCCACAGTCCTTCGGCAATCCCATCGATGGCCCCGCATCAGTAACCGCGGGGAATGTGAACGCGAATGAGGATAAGGCGAGCGTCGCAGGCACCGAGGTCACCAATGGGTGGTACCTCCTCCCGAGCTCGAGCCAGGTGAGTGTGTCTAATCTCTGGCATGATCGATGCGCTCCTTGACCAATAAGAATGTAGTTGCCGTCCGCGCGCCGTCAACCGCGCCCACAAAATCGGCGCACGCTCACGAAGCCCCCGCCCGGTTCAGGAGGGTCGAGGCGTAGCCGCTCGCAGAGCGTGTCGTCTACCAACTCCGCGAAGGGCAAGGAGAGGGAGAAGTCGCCCGTCTCGCCCATGCAGAAGGAGAAGGGCAAGGGCAAGGAGAAGGAGAAACCGCTCCCTGTACCCCCTGCGTCGTCTTCACCCAATATAAACCCCGGCCCGCCCCCGTCGAATTCGTCGTTTGCGAATATGAGTATGAGTATGAGTAGGGATCTACAAAATCAGCCGGGGCCGGAGCAGAAGCCCCAGCATCGAGCGAGGGCGTTCTCCAGCCCTAGCGTACCGACGTTCGGGCTAGGGTTCGGGAGGCGGCGGGCGAGTGAGGGGCAGATCAACGACGCGGAGGGGAAGGGGAGTGGGCGGGGTCGGCCGTTCTTCAGGCGGTTCTTTACTACGAGTTTGGATCGTGCGAGGGCGATGGAGGACGTGGAGGTGAGGTTCTCGACCTTTCTCCAGCCACCCTTGCCTCCAGTTGCTTGGCTTTTGTACTCACGAGTGGGTTGTATGTGTAGGCGGCTCGCGCACCCAACCCGAACTCGAGTCACGGCTCGCATCGAAAGCTGGTCAAGTCGCGCCCCGGGCTGGGAGCCATACCCGGGTTCGGGCCTGAGGCTGGTCCGGCGATGTCGAACGGTACGGCGCACTCCCAAGCCACAAGCAATGCGACCGGGCACTCGCAGGCACTGGAAAGGCCGGGGATGAGGCCACGGTCGTACTCGCTCGACTCGGGGAGCTTCGTTATGATGTCTCCGCCTTCCACGGTGTGAGTTCGACGGAGTTGTTACTGGCACGTTGTGGACTCACTTGCTCCTGTCGTGGTCTAGTGCGAATCTCCACCAGCGATGGCGAGGTCCGCCGACGACGGTCGCGCCGTCGACGTATAACGGGTCCGAATATATGTACCCGCAGAGGTGAGTGGTACTACAATGAAGAGGGAGGTATCGTAATGCGTCGTGTGTAGGCCGCCTCGGGAAGGGCCTCTGCAGCACTCGATGATGTCGATGGCTGGCGCCATGTCGGATAGTGGTCACGGACATACAGCGAAGTGAGTTCACGAGTATCGATAATATTATGCTCTAACAAGGATACAGTGGCGCGAACGCAATGAGGTCGCCCAACCCCGCCGCCGCGCCCCCAAATCCGTCGACAAGCCACGGAAGGAGCCATTCGGCGGCGCAGACCCAGCAGCCGATGAGTGTTGCAAAGCCACCTTCGAGGGCACCTTCGATACAGTCCGCGCATAGGGTTCCGTTTACAGCTAGGGATTATGACGTGCACCCCGTAAGGCCGCTGTACGTCCTTTCCAATGCTCAGCTGTGTGGATGAGCGGTGAGCACTGACGACAGCAATAGTGGAAGAGTGCGACCAAGCTCTCGCACCTCGGTTTCGTCGTTCGCGGGGTCGCAGCGGACTGTGAGGCCGCCGTATGTCGCTTCGCTTTCTCGTGTGGACCGGACTGATAGATTCCTTTCGATGGTCACAGCCTGGTTCGGTCGTCGTCAGTCAGATCCACCACGCGAGCACAGCCGTCTCGCTCACTGGCGGCGTGGCTCAAGAGTGGATTCGGTGCTGGGAGGTCAGATTCATAATCTTGGTCCATTCGGATGTGACGTGCTGAAACGCTTTAGACGGAGGAAGGGCTCGGAGGGGCAAGCGAAGGCGGATGAGGCTCCTGTGGCTACCAATGACGCTCTGCCTCCTGGTTCTCCTGGGGAGGCGGGATCAGAGAGTCTCAGCAGGTAAGGCCGATCATGAGCCCGTTCTTACTCGAGAGCTTCAGGCTGAGATGAACGTTCTGCAGGCCTGAAGCTGTTCGGTCAAATAGCTCAGACCACATTGGCCGTGCAGCACGCCAGAGTTTGGATGCTGTACCAGCCCCTTCTTCCACTTTCGTTCCTCGTGGGTCGAAGTAAGATGCTTTCCTATGCCTCACAATGCCAATGCTCACCTGCACATCACTGAGTATAGTGGCACGCCACCCGGAGCAACAGTTTCGAGATCTTCCTCCCAGCAGTACTCAAGGACAAACCCCTCCCCACAGGATCCGGGGCCCAGCAACCAACCGGGTACCCGTTCATATTCGTTGAGTCTTCTGATAAAATATGGCAATAAACAATGTACTCACGCTTCGGCTTGCTTCTAGTGCCCAGAGGGCTAAAGGTCCCTCCCGTTCCGATTTCGAGAGATTGTATACAACGACAGTCCCCACGCCTCCGCCAAAGGATGTGGCCGCGCCTTCGGCCAATGGGTCGCGGTACACTGCATCTATTGGACCAGTAGATACAGACTCGAGGTTCCCCAGGCCATCGCGGGGTCCTGTTGCTCGGTCGGTGGCAGCTGAGAAGCCCAAAACTTCATCCAGGCAGGATCAGGTGACGGGGACAGGCAGGCCCCCTGTCCCCACTTCACAGCACCCCTGGGACCCGACGATGCGTCCGCACTTGTGAGTGAAGCGCACTCTTCTTGTTTTACATGTTGATTGATGGTACTTCATTCAGCTACGAAGATCGATCCCGAAAATCGATCGGCGGCGCGTCGCAGGTGTCTTGGAACATGAAGCCTATCACGATTACCCGTCCTCCGGACGGTATATCGCAGGCGCAGACGACCTATTACTCGTACGCTTCTCCCCAGGCCGCTGCGCAGGGGCATCTGGAAGCTTCTCGTCAACACGTCAATGGGACATCTCGTAGCGCAACTCATCCCCCGCCGTCTGCATCGGCTACCGTGAATGGCGTTCATGCATCTGTTGGGGCACCACAGTTGCAAGCGTTTAGCTCTGCCTACCCTCAAGCCCATGCTCCGAGAGGGATGCACCAGCACTCCCCATCGGCCCCATCCAACTATTCCTATTCGTATGCTGGCTCCGTGACGGAGAGGCCAGCAAACGGTAATGGATTCGCTTCAGGAACTCCGGAATTGCAGGCGCAAGAAGACTTTGAGCCGCCTGTCATTCCCAGTCCGTCGAGTAAAAGCCCTTTCTTTAAACGTCTCTTCGCGTCTGGCGCTAAAGGCAAAGGGATGGAGCCTGGCACGAGCGACAGCGACGAGTCGAAAAAGGCTAAAAAGACGAGAGGTCTTTCCGCTGAGAGCGCTGCGTGGCGTTGACGGGGAAGCCTTGACTTCAATAGATTATATCAAAGTTACGCTAGCTATCACTGTCATTGACTAACGCTTTTCACGACCGTCATGTACATACGTATCGTATTGTTGCGATTAGCACTACTTAGCCTCATGTTGGCTTATGCTCAAACTCATTGCGGTATCGAACTGTTGCCAAGTGCGCATTGCAAAGGGTATGGCGTTTCGAGCCGAAATCTGCGCTTGCTGCACCGCTATATGCATTCAGTGCTCTTCTACTACAGTTCTACTTCGTATGCATCTCCTGTACCTACTGGCATGGTCGTGAGAATCGTTCTGACGCGCCCAGTGAGGCCGTTTCATCGCAGTGGACAGTCTCAGTTTTAAGATATCAAAAGCGAAAACACATTACATCTCCATGCCCACGTCCAAAATTAGTACTCTTCATCTGCAGGCTCGAACCAGCACTCGTTGATAACATCTGAGTCAAGCTTGTAGCCACGCAGCATTAATTTGAGCAATGCTTCATCGTGTGTAATCGGCTTCCCCTTGTGCTCGCCGAGACGCTGCCTTGCAAACGCAAAGTCTATGAAAACGATCTCTCTGCTCTCAGGGCGAGCCATCTCAATCGGACTGAGTGGACATAATATCTGACCCCCGTGCCAATCAGTCTGCTCGATTCCAGCAAACTTGAGCACTCGCACGCAGTGGCGCAAACGGGTAACCTGAGAATTACATTTGAAACATAATAGAGAGAACTAGAAGGCGAAACGTACGAAGTCGCATTGGTCCTCCTTTGGCCACTCCTGAACTCGACATTGCCCGAACGAAGGCGCGTCGATAACTTCAGTGAAGAAGCCGGGGAACCTCCAGCCACCCGGCAAAATGAACTGGTTGAGAGTGAGTACATGGTCTGACCACCGCAAAAACATCACTCACGACGTGAAATCCATAACAGTGTGGAATCAAGGAGCCCTGGAAATGCTTAAGCCTGTCATAGACAGATTCCTCTCGGCGGATCATGTCAGCAGCGAAATTGAGGTTTAATAGACGTTCACTGGCAGGCAGGTACCACTTCACAATCGGCGCGTGTGGGTCCTTAGGATCTTCGGGATAGGGAACATAACGCTCGTCAAAAAGCTTGAGGCACAGCAATGGGCCCCTGCCGCATATTTTCCCGAAGAAGATTTGCGAATACTTCCTTGGGCCCGTCCTCTTGGCTTCCACAATCTCGAACCAAAGCTTGCCCGTCTTCAAGCTCGCATTCACTAAGTCTTGCACTGATTGATCTTTCGGCCTCATATAGCGCGATGCAATGCGTGCAGAGTCTTCCGGAATCGCGCGATGGTATTCATCCTCCTGTGCGCGCCAGAGCGTGTGACGATTCTCGACGCCATTCCATTCCACTTCGAGTTTCATACCAGGCATCAGTGGAGACTGCTCAGCTTCGGCTTCAGCAGCACGCCTCCAGGCCTTGAATGTATCCCACGCGTCTTCGCATCGCTGCATAGTGAACAGATCAAAGCTTGAGAAATCTTTCTTTAGAATATCGCCGTCACTGGTGAACGCCAACTCGTGGACGACACCCCACTGTTTCTCTTCCCGGGCGCCTTCACCAACCACGATCTCCCTTTGATTCAGTGCTCCTCGGCATGGAATGGTCGAAGCCTCTGGATGTACCTCGCATATCCCAAGCTTGCAGCCTTCAATGTATATGAGATTTGCGATCATCATTCGAACCGTCATTTCTGAAGTCTCAACGACCTGCATAACGACACCGTTGGGTAAGTCCCATTCGGTATTGTCGTACACCACGGAGGCTCGTTCGTCGCATAAGAAGCCATATCGTGCACCAGTGACGTCGCAAAGGCGACTCAGCTCAAGTACTGCGGCTCCTATTTGGCAGTTCGTTGTGAGTAATGCAGGGTAAGCTTCTCCAACGAAGTCCTCGCGGTGTATCATTCCACATTCCTTGTATCGGTCATCTTTTATAAATCATAAAGAAGGTGGAGGCACATCGGAACAACTCACAAGAAATATCCCCACTATCAGCGCTCTTTTTGGATACAACTCATCCAATAGCGCGTTCCAACGTTTCGGATTGTTGGGCCAATCATGAGACTCGTCTCTGAGGTGGAATCCGGCTAGAATAACGTGTCCAATACCTGCCCCAATAAATATGTGTGAGTGAATGCCTACAATGTGCATTGCAGACTTGTCCCGACCTTGACCACTACGGCGAGCCTCAACAAACTCCAGTTGTCCAAAAGAATCTGATGGGTCGAATAAGTCTCGATTGACGAATGTCGATACTGGATGAAGGTATTTTTCCCATATGGAACTACAATTGAGAGAGGAATATGTCATCATGCATCACAATGCATATGCAAGCTACGACTCGGGTCTTACCTGTCGTGACTGAGGTTTTTGTCATCGTCTGCCTTGAGAGGACACAATCGTAGTCGCAGAAGTAAGTAGTTTAGACGTCCGTAGGATAAATTGAAACTTCGAAGCCACTGGAATATCTCGAGCACGGCAGGAGGATCCTTTGCTTCTTCGTCTGGTAGATCAATGCATGGGCCTGGAAGCCCCAGGTAAATCTTTGGGCATATATGTGACGAGCCCGCGTCCCTGAAAGGAACTGAGAACGAGAGAAAATCGTATGGAGAGACCCAAGCTACGAGCGTGTCAGGCGCCATGTGAGTCTTACTACTCGTGAAGGGAAGGCGAAAGACGCTTCAATAAGAACAATTCACTGAAAGGTCCCGGGTTAAATACAGGAAGATATGCCCGTCGGCCCCCGCGTCGCATGTTCTTGAAAAGTCACGACACGTAAGGGAATATGTTGCGAGGTGACTGTGGGTCCCTGAGTCCAGTATACGGATCCTGATTGGTCACGGTATCAGTGTTTCACGGTCACGACAGCCCGCCTTACCCGGGACTACCTGAAGCGCAGTCCAAGCTCTCTCTCTCGAATCGGTGTAGTGCTATGCTATGACTTGTCTTGTATTCAGCTGTACAAGATGTTTCGGATCTTGATGAGAGTGCTTGCAGCGACTCAGCTTCCCAGAGTCTACCAGTCTACGACCGACTCGACTTCGACAACCGGAGTGGTGGTCGTTCCGCACACGAGCGACTGGTACACAGAAATGGTCGCAGCCGCTTTATCTCAACTATTCTGCGAGTACGCACAGCCATATCCTGGTCGCTACAGTCCAATAACTAGATTTCAAATTCTTATTCCAAACAAATACTTAACGTGACGAAGCCCGGTGGATGACCGCCGGAATGGCCATTGGTTGTCTGTCAGAGGTGGATAAGAGCAAGGAGTGAACCCACATTCCTTGTCAGACAATTGTTCAGACATTTCCCTTGTTCTCTATTGCCCGAATATCAACAGACACTAACAGTTGTGGCGGCGATACCGACCACTATAAATTGAGCTGTCAGGCGGTATATATGACATTAGAAACATATCCTGCTCCCATCCGCACAGACATATTCCTCGAGTCCAGGCATGACTGAGAAGCTCAGCAAGACACAGGCATTCCTGAAAGAGCCTTTGACTGAACTCACACCTCCGCCTGGCGAGGAGAATCTGCATCCCCCAATTCCCTACGACGCGGAAAACACTACCTCCATATGGGCTGACGAAGTTCTGAAGGACTATTGCCTTGAGGAGCAGCCGGTCAATTGGAGGAAGCACCCTCTCTGGAACACGTTCTGGGCCGCAGCAGGGAAGATCGACCAAGAACCCCACACATCTTATGTCTCTGCCATGTTTATCTATAATGAGGAGGCCACAGTGTATGTACTCACCCTTATTATCATTCTGGCTGAGACTTGAAGATACATTATCTTGACTTAGGGACGCTGTCAAAAGTCAATGTATCTCACCGGTGTGGGAGTTGATGCAGCCAATGTCCAAGCCTAATAAGACAGTCTATCAAGAATTTGCCCTGCAACTTGCGAGTCAAGGGACCGCAGACACTCAAACCACGCCCATTGTGCAGCGCTTGTACAATGCCGCGAAGTGGCGTTTCTCGGTTTTTCACCAGGTGCAGCCAGAAGTCTGGAAAGGGAAGAATGATAAGGACGCCGCTGGCGGTGTCCGGGCGGACATTGTTATGGGCCCTGTCCTTATTTCTAAGCCCAAAGACTTTCAGTCAGGTCCCGTTACTCGAGCAGCACTTAGGAAGCTAGAGATACCTGTGAAAGCATTGATAGACAATGCCCCTTATACCACCCAGAACATCATATACGATACATCGAGAGAAGATAAGTCAGATTGGGTGGCTATACAGCGGGCCCTCCTACCCATTGAATGCAAGGTACGCGGTTCACTGGCTCACGGGCCAAGGTTTATCTGATCATTTACTGACGTACAATGATGACAGAAACTAGCTATGATTGACAACTACACTCTGAAGGAGATTGCAAGCAGAGGTATTCCATTGGGAGGATCTATCAGTATTACTACTGGAAAGCCAGACAACACCAAAGCCGTCCGATACTTGATTCAACAACCCCTCCGATATGCCGTTCATTATGACAGTGGCAGATCCTGTCTCAGCGACTACAATCAATGGATCGTGTTCCGCTTGCCCGAAAAGATGGCCGAAGACTGTAAGCGATACGAGGAAAAGAAGAAACAAGTCGCAACCGCTGCTACAACAGATATTCAGATTGACGTACCCGCTACCACGGGAGGAAAGGAAAGCAAGCAGAAGAAGCATCAACCAACTGATGCAGTGGCACGGGTGGAGACGCCACCGAAAGAGAGCCGGATACAGAAGAAAAGATTGGTGGAGTGGATGAGCGCTACGCGAGATGAAGCATTGCAGCTGGTGACGTTCATATACTGGCTTCAGACCCAAGACTGTGCAGGGGGAGTGGAGCGCGATAACGCGGAGAGGGAGAAACCCCGTCAACAAGCAAAAGGAGGTACGGTTGCAAAATCGGGACAGAAATAGGCAGTTTTTTCAGCTCAGGTGCGAGGGCGCTGGTCGTCACTACTAATAGTGTGTAATATTTACGAATGTCTGTATGTACTGATATGATGTCGAGTCACCGCTGATATGCCAGAGCCCTTTCGGCTTGCCAGTGGCAGCTGGCATTGCCACTAGGAGTGCTCAATAATTGATCATTTACCGTGTTAGGTCTTTTGACGTGACGCGTCAAAACGGAGTCTTCCGGGACGGGCCCAGGCTCCTAAACCATCCCTCCTTAGCGTTCTCGCTCCTCCTTTACTTATAATCATAGTGTGGCCGCCGCGGCTGCGTTCGCCCAATGCCGATAGCGCGGGAAAAGGCTTTAGCAGATCTAGAGCAGGGGCATGGCATGCTGTGGCGTCTCGCGAATTCGATCGACTCGCAGCGACGACTTGAGCCCGGCTGCTGGAGCAACTTGCTCCTTGCACCCTGGCGATAGACTGCAGTAGTTCACACTATCACCGGCTGCAGTTCCTGCGGGCAATTAGCTTACACCTTTGTAAGAAGGGCTCCAGCATAGCTCTAACTTCTGAATCTTCAAGTTCGGCGCGGGTGAACAAGGGGCCACGTCGCAACCCCTTGGGACGCGACGTGGTTCTCATACACTATGTACATGGCTTTACTTAAATTTCTACTAGACGCTCCACTGGGAAAGACAGCGTACCGTGCCCCGGGCCGTGCAGTATGCACGGGTGGTTGCTACTAGTAAGATAGGGCCAGCTCATGTACGACTACTATCACGTGACTATTTTTGTCACACTTGGCGGGGAAAGCACGAAGTCGGTCTTATAACTTTGGGCACAGGTAGAAAACCACAGATGTTTTTTATAGGAATCAAGATACAGTACATACAAATAGTTCCTATAAAAAACATTTGAGGATCTCGACCCATGGAGATTATAATAAGCTCGACAGTGGTGATTTCTATCGATGATCTCCTCGATTTCCTTACACTGACCTGCCATATATAGGCAAAACACGTGATTGTCACGGTGTGACCAAGGTAGTCGTGTATGGACTGGCCCTATCTTAGCAGTTATGAACTGGAGTTCTGACAAGCATAAGAGCCTACGATTCAGCGTTGGATGTTGAGACGGCGTTTCGCCTCACATCTGTCTCATCCGCCTCAAACGCGAGACGAAGACAGACTAATCATCCACCACCTCGGGCGTCCCGGAAGGCACCCGGAAACTCCAGAGTTGCTGGCAAGAATGCACTGCCACATCTGCAGCCGCGGGTATATAGCACCAATGTACGCGCGGTTACACTCCTGTTCTGCAACGCTTATCGCCTAATAGCTGAAAGTTTATCATGCTCTTGTCCCCACTGCAAATCCTAGACCTTAGGGTACCTGTACCGGCACCATCCGATGACTTGTTGTCGACTCGACATACCGTCGCATACGACCGAGTCGCGGAAAGTGGACCTGACTCATACAAGCTCTGCCATTGGGACCCCAGCTTTGACAAATGGGACACTTACAGGATCGAGAAGGCACTTATGCGGATGAGATACTCTTTACTGGAGTCTCCGGACCTGCAGATACATTCCAGGTATGAATTTGTGCGACGCTGGAAACTATTGGAGAACTAATGACTTTGCTCCAAAAAACCTGTACATGTGATCTTGTATTAAAGCCTATCTCAGAAGTATCTACAGCCTGTCATAGACGTCTCTCACCGTTTCTTTTTCTCTCCGGACAATACGCATGGTCCTCTGCAAGCTACGTTAACCGAGGGACATGAAGGTAAGGCGGAACTTTCATCGCCAGTCTTACCTGAGGATATGTAACGACCGACAGTAGGTCATATAGTCCAAGTAGGGTTTCACGTGGATGACGCCGACGCGCCCAATCGAACTTGGAAGGGGTCTTGCAGCGGTGACATTCCATGGGAACGCTCGAAGAGATGCATTTGCATCGTGATATTTGCGGTTCGCTGCTCTATTACTCTACTGCGACAGTGAATTGACGAAGCACTTTCAGGAGCCTGGCACAATACAGGCAGAGCGCGTACCATGCAGCCTGCAGGCAGGTCCTATGGCTAATCTCGTGAAGGAAGCAGCCGCGCAATGCGAAGAAACTGAGGCAACAGTTGCAATTATCACCGACGAGATACGCTCCCTCGTCGTAAGGCGAAAACTCGTCAGGAGTACGTGGATCAACGCCGAGATTTTCTCGACTGATGAAGTTTCGATTCGGAGGCTTATCGCCCATTTCGTTTACTGCGAGACTTTTCAGGCGGGGCTGTGTGCACTGGACTTTATTCCACCATCACCCATACGGTCGGGTGCTGAGGCTCAAAGGCAGCCTAGACCTCTGCCGAGGCTCCTGTTGCGGAGGTCATTCGAAGACTTCGACGTTTATACCATGCAGAGGAACAGACTGGCTTGGGGGGATTTCATGATATGGTGGAAGATCTACAGCGAAGAGGCGAGAATATCGGGCAAGGCGCCATGGAGCCTGCATCCTGGCACATGTCTTCCCGTCTCACAACCACGCATCTTCGCTGAGGGTGGACATAACACATGGGTCCCGCAGGGACGCCCGTTTTTTCCCATTCCAGCGGAGACGAAAGCGCTGGTTACGCGACATTATAGACCGAGGGATGACTACTTGCATAATATCCTCTACACCGGCAAAATCCACGATCCGGACCCCCAAGGCCACTGGTTTCAAATTTCCGCGATTATACGTGCCGGTTCAGATCTATACTCTCAAACCTTTCTAGGTCATTTCGACTCACGCGGCCCACTCTTGTGCTTGAAACTCTTCGATGAACGGTTCTTTCCCTTGCCAGAATGGCGTCCTTGGCATTGCGCACGACAACGGCTTAATGACTTAAATCTGGCTATTGATATGGCACGGCGAGAGGAAGCTGCGTACAAGCAGCTGGAATATCTTCAAGGCTCCCTTCTTCCACACTGTTATGGGTTTCACAAGGCAAGTGCTTGTCCCGGGGATGAGTGACCTGTACTAACTGAATGATATAAATAGTTCCTCCTTCCGGGCGGATGGCACGTATACGGCTTGCTCATGGAGGCTATCAATGGCCCTACCATGGACATGTCGGATATCAAAGACCGACCACGCGAGCAACAAATAGACATCGTAGGTTGCAATGCAATACCGCCTTGGTCTGTATCGAACTGACCTTTCTCGCCAGATAAGGCGGCTGCGGCATGGGCTCAGAGCCAGCCGATTTGCGGGAATCGAGCAGACAGACTGGAAACTTGATCAGATTTTGTGCCCTCCAAACCCCGAGAATCCCACCTTTGCCCCTGATATCGTATTCGTTGATTTTGCATTTGCTCTGCAGAACTGGGGCGAGGTAATGGGATGCCCTCTCCACCGTGAACCCGGAGCGCTTGCGTCCGCACTACGCGCATGGGGAGTTGATCGTGAAATCATGGAGTCCTGTTGGTTCGAAGCCACCGAGGAAGAGTACTGATCGCGCTTTAAATATTCATTTAGTGCATGCCACTAGTAGTAGTAGCAGAATGCAGCTCAGTTGCTGCCGTGTAACGTATACATTCCAGTCATATTGTACCAATTTACATTGTGGTTAATGGACATCCTGCCCGTCATCGCCTCCGCGTCTCAGTGCATCAACTGGAGCAGTTGCTCTGGGACTACAGGCCCTTTGTTCCACTCCTCTCATCCAGGCCTGGCGCCTGCTGCATCACCGACGGTAGGAAGACCGAATACTGCAGTCACAAACCAGATACTCTTGTCACCTGTCGGTCCATGTTCGTCCATCAACGTGGGCAGAACCGCACGTGGAACCATGACTGGTATTGGCATCCGTCCTCATCGCTTTCCCGTTGCGCAAGCCACTGCCACCATTACCGAGCTCGGCGATCCCACTGACACCAGCTGTCGACGCGGCACACGCCTCGCTTCCTCTGTCTAACGTACCAAAGTCCTCCCCCGTCGAAGGCTCCAGCGCACGCCCATCCTTCCCCTGACCGTAGATCGCAAAGCCGCCCTCGGCGCTCCACAGCTTCCTGTCCGACTGCGGTGGGACGACCCAGGTCTCAATCTCGATCGCGAGGACGGCGAACGCCTTGCAGAACCAGTACGGGGAGCCGGGGGAGTTGTAGTTTTCGGTCATGTTGTGGATCGGGTAGCAATAGCCGATCGTCATCGTGACGTCCGGGTAGTACGCGCCGGGCTGCTTAGCCCAGTACATGTGAGCGCGGCGGGGTAGTTCGACGTCGGCGAAGGCGAGAGCGCCCCAGAACGATGGCATCGCCGCACGATACGTGAGCAAACGGGATTTGACCCTGGCCAAATCGACGTACGCTGTGACATTACCCCGGACCAGTGCTTGAGGGATGGATTATGCCAGAGCATGGACAATATGTTTCATAGCTTCAACTCGCCTCATACCTTCTTCACCCTGATTGCGAGGGCGACCATTGATGGGATTCCCAAAGGACTGTGAATCGACACACGGTCCGCTGTCGCTTGCCATACGCGCGTGTCCGGAGGGACCAGCACCGCGTCTGCGCCCCAGCCGCCCTCCACCTACAGCGCTCTCGAGGATGCTCGCGGGCATCCCTGTAGTGCTACCCGCGCCGATCCCGTCCCCGCCGACGCTCCTGCTCTCCAGAAACCGCGTGTCGAGGGTGTTCCCGGGCTGGTGCCCGTTTGGAAAAGGTACTGAGGAGGAGCGAATGTGCGAGCGACCGTTGCTGGACTCTGACAGCGATTTGGAGAATCCTGGCGGCGGGACGGGGAGGGGGTCGTTGGATATCGTGCTGGCGGGCCTGCGCTGGGAGGTGTGACGCGGCAGCGTATTATACAAAGATGGATGAGGGTGACAGGACGTGGAAGGAGGGTGGGACACCGATTGTTGCATGGGGGGAGCGTGGACGTTCGTAGTCGGAAGCCGTTTCGCTGGACGAACTTGCGTACCTGCCTGAAGTTCCATGCCGGACACAGACGAGTATAACGGATAGACTCACCGTGACCGTTAGCCTGCTTCACCCTCCTCGTATTTCTGCCATTAATATAGTACTCCGCCGAGATAATCTCATCCGGTCTCCCGTCCCCGTGCTTCATGAGCATCCTCGGCGGGAGACTCGCAATCGTCCGCCTATCCTCCTCTTCATCTTTGAGGTACATCGACGGCACCGACCTCTGGTCCTGCGACGGTGCGCGATAGACGTTCGCGGAAGAGTGATTGCGGACCCACGACGCGGTCCGGGCGGGCGCGATGGTCGCATGTTCGACCGTAGACGAAGAAAGCTGCAGCGTGGACAAGTTCACATCAGGACGAGCAGCCTGCATGTTGTTTAGCCGACTAGGTGTGGGCGTAAAGAAGTTTCAGCCTTTTGAGGGATATGGCATGGTTGAGCGATAGACGCTCGACCCAGCAGTGCAGACTGAGCTGCTGCAGCACGGGCGGAGACAATGAGGCAGCTTCGGACGCTATTGTCGCGCGCAGGAGGAAAGAAATAGATAAACACGTTCGGTTACGCTGAAATCTATAAAACTCGTCGCAAATGTCTTCCGGTGGATGAGAGACGTTGTTTGACTGGCAATCAGCAGGCCAGCGTCGACTCCGTCGAGGCAGAGCACGCTCGTCAGAACCGTGGGAAGGCACTCTACACCGGACGGCTGGGCTACGCGGCGTCTCATTGGCTGAACGAACTTAGAGGGGCCGTAGGATAGAGTAAGTCGCTGCTGCCCGAGTCTCCCTAGAAGCATGACAGAGGCATTAATTTGGCATGCAGAAAGTTTTAGGCTGGGCACTTTACTCAAGCAAGTAGAGAAAATTCCATTCTGGAACCACTAGTATTGGGCATCCACGACATATTCTCAAGCACGGATATTCAATACCAGCTCTAGACTCGGATGTCTTTCTTACGATTACATCGGTAACTCTTATAGATAGGCCTCAAAATTTTACGTATCCCTTGCTGTAAGAGCACTATTCATACAAGTGTCATGATACGAGTCAATCAATTCCTACTTTGACATAGGATAATCGGCGAAGAGACAACTGAGCTCACTCATCCTTGACAACATCCAATGATTATGGGCCGTCATGTGAGACTCCTATATCCATCCCATAAGAGATGTTCTTAGACACACCACATCAACCTTACAAGCTATCACTGAGTTTAAGGCTGTAGTAATTTATTCTCTTACACTTCGAGAAAGTGCGAAATACATAGGTACATTATACATACATTCACTACAACCAACAAAATTGGACCGTCGTCAAGGATAACCCAGAGACTCATACGGAGCCTCTGGAGTCCACTACTGGTGGTTACTTTCTTGTTTGGCGACTCGTCTCCACACCGCCCATCTCACCTTGGGGGACACTGGTAAGTAACTGCACTGTGTGAGATGTCTCCGTATGTTTGTCCGTTTTCTCTTTTTTCTGGAGCGCAAAGTCCTTTCCCACATCCTCCCACCATCCTACCATGCCTTTCGTTGTAGTCCATGCGCTGAAGAGAACCAAGTAGCGCACATTTTCCTCGTCCGCATATATCCATGTTACTTCTTTCTTCGAGTCTCCAGCGCTGGGTTGTCCTTTGGGTTGAGTACCTTCCGAGCTGCTTCCAATAACTTCTTCACCTGGTTTGCTCGTTGCGGTATGAGAGGGAGAAAACACTTCCGTCTCGGGCTTCTTCCCGCCCGTCGTCCCCTCTTCCTTCGATTTATTCTTAGTGTGCCCTCGAGCACTCTTCCGGACGCCCTTCCTCGACTTTATTTGATTTTTGTAACGCTTTGCATCCTCTGGCAAGGTGCTCGGCACCATGGCTACCAAATTATGCCTGTAGTCTCCCAATGCTGCCATGTCGGTGTCATAGTGAACAGCATAACGAAGCATCTGCTGAAGAGAGGCCCGCATCCCGAGTACATGGCCCTCATATTTGCCTGTGGGTATGCTTCCCCCTAGCTTGATAGCGTCTTTAGCTATCGTATTCAGCGCTTCAAAATCTATCTGGCCTAGCTTCTGCACTCATACATGTTGCGTCAGCCTTGCATCAACAGGATAGAGTGTATACCACGTACCTTCACTTCAAAGGGAAATAAATTCATCTCGATATCAAAAATGGCAGGGTCCTTGCGTGCCTCAGATACCCGACTTTTGCTGGTCGTAGGCCTCTCTGATTTGAGCTCCGTGGCCACCGCATCCTGACGCGCCTCCATTCCGCGAGTCCTGGCTTCCTTCTTATGGAATAAAACGGAGAATATCAAATCCGTCCGGACACCACCAGCAGTATCTCGGGCATTTGCAGAACTCCATTGTTCAATCGGCAGCTGAATATATGTATCATAGGCCATGGCGGCAGCGGCCGTCCGCAATTCAGTAGTAAGGCACTGGTTCTTGTCATTGACTTGGGTATTATGGCTTTTCTCCGGCTCCATCAGCTGCCATACTGGATGCACCAGTTGCGAGTGCAAGGCTTGCCTGGATGAGTATCAGCTTCTCGCATATAGATATTATCAAGTATACTCACACCGTGGAGCCTTCACTTTCAATGTATTTGGTTGCAATGCGAAGTGTCTGCGGCTCGATATCTAAGCCGTGCAGCAAAGCCTCGAACGTTTTGAATTCTTCATGATCGCGAAGCAGCGAGAAATTGGGCTTTAAGCAGTAGTCCGAGAGGACCTGATCCGCCCATAAGGCTGTCTTCGTGTGGCGCCTAGCGCTTATATTCACGTCGAGTAGGCCTTTTGTTGGCGCCCGTTCCACTGCTGGTAGCCTGGAAGCTACCCATCTCTCTGACTTGCTGGGTACTGAGGTCATTGTACGGTGTCCTGTTGGATTAGTGAGGAGTGTTGCGAGTTGATGCTTCCTTTCAAACCGAAGCTATGACACTCAGGCTTTTTATATGGTATATTAGGCCACATTTGCCACGACATTCTGTCTTTCTGGCGTTTCCGGTATGCAGATACAAGGTGATTCTTCTCAGAAAGCAAACAAAGCACCTGGTATTGCAAAACCTGTCATCGGGTATGGGGGAGTTCGATAATAAAGGTGGACTTGGCGTACTGTCGGAGTAAGGGAATATTCATGCTAGGGTGATTGGTCAGCATGAGATCTAATCTTCATCAGACTCTCGCTTCATGTAGTTATCTGTGAGGACCAAGATTGTATCCCTACGATCTCCAGGTAAAGTAGTTTGGAGCGCGTGCACACAATTCAATGAAGGCAGCGGCACAAGCACCCAGTTGGAAACATCGCACAAGATCTGTATCATTTGTAATGGATGAATACAATAACATTAAGAGGGTTTCATGTCCGTCCACCCGAAAGCTCTGATATGCTGAGGAAGGGCCGTGATTGGCAGTGAGTTCAAAGTTTCGGGAAGTGCGGTCGTTTGATAAGGGAGTGAGTGACTAAGACATATTAATCGGTGCGATACATCTCTATATCAAAACACGCATTGGAAGCCGTACCGTATCTTTAGAAAGTTTAAGATCATGTTACAGCTTCAAACACAAGGACTCAAGGAGTGCGACTCGGAGTGGAATCAGTTGCTTCATAAGTATGTTCCGTGGCGCAATCAACAAGCACGTGGCGACCTCAATAATGAAGACCAACCATGATCATTGTTGCCATGCCAGTGGTATAAAAGCCTGGTGTTTGGACGCCTATGCAGTATACTACAGAACGAACATGCCACCTTCGCCTCCGCCCTCCAGTCCCGCCTCCGGGTGTCCCTATGATCCCAACATCAGTGGTGATTCTGGCGAGACACTGAATCTCGTCAGGGACCACTACGGCGATCTCCTTCTGGTCACTCCGGCCGATTTTTTGTCTTTCCCAGTCCCAGTCCGTACAGGGGAACAAGACTTCAGCTTTCCCAACCTCATAACTGCCCCAAGCCCCACCTCTGAGGATGTTCAAACCACAGATCCTGACCTCTTAGAAAATGATACTGAGGATCCACCTGCTGTTCTCGAAGTATATGATTGGTGGAACAAGCTCAGCCTCTCCTATAAATTCTGCTTCAGTGATTTGCTCTTGAGGTTTCGGTCATGCCTCATTGACTCTAGGGATGACTACCTTTTGACCGCACATAGGTGAGCCTTTCGGTGACGTCTTGTCCATGGTAAAGTTCATTGGTAGAGCCTGATACCCTTGCCACAGCTCCGTCATAGCCAAGTATCTCTTACCGGCACTAAAATTTGCGAATCGGGATATCTTTGATCCTGTGAGCAACCTCGGGCCGCTAGAAATCAGAGAAGTGCGAACAGCAAATGGTAGAAGCTGAGTTATTTAACCAATATTGCTCTCACATCTCGGTCTGTAGGCATGGACCAGGCCTTCATACTGGGATTCCGCATCCATGACAAGTCCCAAGGTTGGGATGCTAATCCCAAGTTCACCAAGTTTTCTGAGGAGATACCGATGAACAAGAGGGCTCTATTAACAGGGATATTTTTGGTAAGTGAAGCAGTCCATCAGCATCGACAACAGTTAAACGAATCATACCATTATAAAGAAACCTGGAACGATACACCGGGATGACTTGACTGGTGACTCCAAACCCATGATGGTTCCTTCAGGAAGTCAGATCGGAATGATCGTTCTGGAGCTTAAACGCCTATGTGATATTACTGGCGCATCATATGGCTTCTTCTCTGACGAGATAGTCTCTGTCGTCTACGACAATACAGAGTGTCGACCGCCAGAGAGGGCAGTCCTGCAAGTCATTGACCCAAGGAAGATTTCTGTCCGTATGATGATTTCGATCCTCTTATGGGTCGAAGCAAACCGGTTCTGTATAAACGCGACAGTTATCTTACCGCGTCCCAGCCCATACCAAGGCGCGTTATGGCGAGGATGGCTCAAGGTTCCGGGCGGAGAGATGAAGGAGCTCATTCTTTACACTCGCGCGATAAGCCCGGAGAACGGAATCCTGAAGAGAACCTTCTCCGAGTTTGATATCTACACTCTTCAACGTTGTCCGGGAGCATGGGCTGGTTTTGTCGAATGGAAACAGGCCGTCGAAGCTCAGGCCAGATCATCTCCGCTGAAAGCGGGAGACATCCTGAAGGTGAACTGGGATGCAATCGAGAAACAGTATACGCTCTGGCGCGCGGAGCCTGACGCATACTACCACGATATTCCCGAAGAGTCTGCCCGCATTGCGTTGCGGTACATGAGGCCAAAAGATCGTTCACTCCAAGCTTGGGCGGCGAAGGCGAAGCCTGAGGAACTGTGGTTTGAGATCGAGGAAGTTCGAAGTGCTGGCTCGCGTCAATTTTCTCAAATTTTCTTCGGGAGACTATGCGGCAGAGGACCGCTGCTTTGTCTCAAGCTGTTCGACGAACGGTACTTTCCGTTCCCTGACGACCCTGATGATGACGAAGCACCTACGGTGGACTTCGAAAATACGCACGCGAGCCAACTGCTCATGAACCTCCATTTTGCTGTGGATATGATCCGCCGCGAGGAGTCTGTGTATGACCGACTGAGAGATTTCCAAGGCTCCTTTATTCCACATTGTTATGGATTTCATACGGTGAGCAATTTGAATATTTCCCCGAGATGACGTGTCTGACCTCCTGCTAGTTTACTTTGCCAGGGAATACTTGGACGTTCCCCGGCTTGCTCATGGAGATAATCGAGGGTCCTGAGATCGGCGATTGCGAAGTGCACCGCTGGACCATTGAGGAACAACGAGACTTCGTAAGTTATACTGCAGTGTGCACAGTAGTGATACTGCGTCTCTCAGGCTCGCGACTGATTCCTACTCCCTCAGGTCACCCATGTACGGCACTGCGAGCGGGTGTTCAAGTTCGCTGAAATCGAGCAGACGGATTGGAATGACCGGCAGATGATGTGTCCCGTGGATTCTTCTGGTCATCGGCACGCCGTATTTCTCGACTTCGCATTTGCGAACCAGCGGTTGGGGGAGCATAGAGGAAAGCCGCCCACGGAAGATGCTATAGTTCTGAAATATCTCCTTATTGACAGCGGCATCGACAGGAAAGTCATGGATGAGTGTTGGTTTCCCCTGGTGGCTGACGAGCAGTGAGACATGGTTGGGAAATCAACTACCTCCCGCTTGATAATGCCCCTTGGAACACATCCTCCAATACTATTCAAACGCTGATCTTCGTGCGCTAGTATGTTACCTGTGAATAGTCCAATGAGTTCAATGTCGACAACATCTCTTGATTCTCTTCATCGATTGGGAGATCACCTACTCACAACATGTCATCCTCCAGAAATTCGGAGATGGTGATTTTCATTTCCTCAGATGAGTAAATGTGTATGCGTGCAGGGATGAGGCAGTCTAATTATAGATAAACTCGCTCTGCATGTAGCGGCGTATGCTCATACCTGCCTGGAAGAAGACGACTAGTCTACGCTGCTGCCCATGAAGAAGAGCCGGATGGCTGCGGAGAAGACGAACACAGTGATCGCATTCGCTTGCTAGGCGTACTGACCGGTGAGGCGGCGTTGACACTGGAAGCGATAGTAAGCGTAGAGCCGTCACGTATTGACGGTCTCCTATGGCTTAAAGGAAAGTTCGGGTGGGCAATGATGGTGGTGCGGCTATAGTATACGGCTCTTCAAGGTCATGTCTACTACGCGGGGTCGAAGTGTATGAATGGCTGAGGGAAGATGACGAACATTCAAATCAGGAAACACCAAATTCTATAGTGGTTTCCCCCCGGACACATAGTCCTCCATAGGTCTATAGAGGTCGGATAGGGGGAAACCAAAATAGGCAGTCATAGGTGAGATGCGTTTCCTGATGTTTGCAGGGAGCCGCGGGAATGGTCAACGACAGCCTTGGCAGAACGGTCATAGGACGCAATCAACCTTCCCGAACGTTAACAACTCTCTCGATTGCTCACTGTCCTTTCGTTCTGTAGGTCGACGTCCTAGTAAGTGGTCTGACGGAGGCGGCCTTCCGTCTACGTCGGTGCCAGTTCAAGACACGTTGACGCCACGAAGACATTACCGTCACCACCGCCATCCCAGCCTATCTTCGATCTTCCTGAAGTACAGAATATTAGGCCTGCGCCTTAAAGCTACCAGTACTATGCTCGTCTCCCCACTGCAGCTTCTAAATGCCCAGGTACCTGTGCGAGCACGTGCACCATCTGGTGTGTTTGCTACAGATCGTACCATCTCGTACAACCTCAGGCTTGCGGAAGGCGCACCGGACACATATATATTAGACCGCGGGTTCCCATCGTTCGGCGAATCGGAAATGGTGGGACTCAAGCTAGCTCTTCTACGCATGAGGTACTGTTTGCTGGAGTCTCCAGAACTGCAAGTATCCTCTAGGTATGCATCCGTCGTCGCATTCTCTACCAACCTTATACGTATAATCTGGGGGAAGCGTATATGAGAAGTACCTACAACCTGTCGTGGATCTGGTGAATCGTTTCTTCTTCCCCCCCGATAATGCGCACGGCCCTTTGCAGGCGAGGTCCACTGAAGGGAGCGAAAGTATGGCGCCATTTCATGACAATTCACAGGAGCCGAGTCTAAAACTGAGCCCAGATATACGGCACCTGGCCCACATTGGTTTCCGTGTCGATGACTCCGATTCTCCTGGACGAGTTTGGAAGGGGCCACGCACCGAAGTCAAAACATGGAAAGCGTCCAAGAGATGTATTTGTGTCGTCTTATTCGTGGTTTGTTCAACTCATATCTCGTCGATTCAGCTAACTGACCTGGAGTGTGTAGGATGTTAGCACTATCCAAGTCGAAAGTCTACCTTGTGTCCTCTATGCAGGGTCGCCTATGGCTAGCCTCGTTGCCGAAGCTATGGTTCAGTGCCAGGAAACGGAAGCCACATATGCCATCATCACCGACGAAGTCCGATCGCTCGTGCTACGAAGCAACGTAGATCTAGAAACTGACATCGACGCTGAGATATTTGTCGCTGAGAAGGTCTCTATTCGACAAATTATTACCCATTTTGTCTACAGAGAGACTCGGGAAAAGGGCCTCTGTGTTTTGGATTATGTTTCCTCAGACCCTGTCTGGTCAGGCGTTACAGCTTCGAGGAACCCTAGGCCCTTGCCGAGACTCCTGCTACGCAGGTCATTCGAGGACTTCGATGTGTATACCATGCAGAGGGACAAGTTGGCTTGGGACGATTTTATGATATGGTGGAAGATATACGACGAGGAGGCCGGGATTTCTGGCATGGCCCCATGGAACCTGCAACCTGGTACACGTCTTCCCGCCTCGCAATTACGCATCTTTGGCGAAGGGGGACATCAGGTGTGGATCCCACAAGGTCGCCCCTTTATCCCCATCCCATTCGAGACAAAAGCACTAGTCGTGCGACGTTACAGACCAAGGGAAGACCACCTGCATCATCTCTACGCCGGAAGAGTGCACGATCCAAACTCCCAGGGCCACTCGTTCGAGATCTCGTCCGCTATATCGGCCGGCCGAGCGCAATACTCTCAGACCTTTCTGGGCCGCTTCGACGGAGAGGGACCGCTCATGTGCTTGAAACTCTTCGATGAACGTTTCTTTCCCTTACCAGAGCGTGCATGGGGCCATCAGTATCGCCATTCTCGAGAGAGACTTACGGACTTCAACCTTGCTCTGGACATGATTCGACGAGAGGAAGCGGTTTACAAGCGGCTTGAGTATCTTCAAGGCTATCTTATTCCGCACTGTTACGGCTTCCACAAGGCACGTCCCAGTCTGTAGAGTGCCGAACAGTACTAATCGCATAGCGTCTAGTTTCTACTGCCGGGTGGGTGGCACGTATACGGGCTGCTCATGGAAGCTATTGACGGCCCTACGTTGGAGATGTTGGATATCAAAGACCGACCACAGGAGCAACAAATCGACTTCGTGCGTCGAACTGTAGCTTCTCCTCCCCTTTGCTCACCTGTTCGGTAGATCACGCGGCTTCGTCACGGACTCAGGGCCATCAGATTTGCGGGAATTGAGCAGACGGACTGGCATCTCAATCAAATTCTGTGTCCTCCAGACCCCCGGGATCCGAGCCTCGCCCCGGACATTGTGTTCATTGATTTTGCTTTTGCTCTGCAGAATCTTGGCGAGGAGGAGGGATGCCCCCTCCATCTTGATCCGAGAAACCTTGAAAATGCACTATATGATTGGGGAATTGACGAAGACATCATGAAGTCCTGTTGGTTCGAAGCCACTGAGGAAGAGTACTGATCGCGCTTCAAATCTTCATTCGGCGCATGCTACCAGTAGACAGAATACAGCTGAAGCGCTGCTGTATGTCGTATACAATCCAGTCATGATTTACCAATATACATTGAGGTTAATGGACATCCTGCCCGTCATCGCCTCCGCGTCTCAGTGCATTAACTGCCACATGTACGACCGCGGGTACTTGTATGAGGTCAGACCGGTTTACTGCCTCCCGCATCTGGTATACGATGCTCGTGTCTCCCCTGCAGTTCATAGACCTTCCGGTACCTATCCAGGCACCATCTGACTTTTTATTGTCGAAGCATACTCGTAGTACTGCCAGTGTCGCATACGACCCCAAGCCACTTGAACGTGACGGCGCATCCGGCTCTTATGAACTGTGGCACTGGGTCCCGACGTTTCGGAAGTCAAGAATGGGCGGAATAGAGATGGCCCTTCTACGAATGAGATACTCTTTACTCGAATCTCCCAATCTGCAGATAAATTCCAGGTATGACTTAGGTACCTAACCGGAGACTCTTGCTGACCTCACTACCTTGCTTTACAAAATTACATTCCTGCGGCGCTGGAAAGTAGCATATTTCAAAAGTATCTACAGCCGGTTGTGGACCTGGTGCATCATTTCTTCTTCTCTCCCGTGAATGCGCATGGTCCTCTTCAGGCCAGGTTAACGCAGAACCAAGGAGGTAAGGTGGCATTTCATCTGCGGTCTCAAGACAACGAATATATAATGACGCGATTCAGTTCATCTAGCACAAATAGGATTTCACGTAGATGATGTTGACGCAGCTGACCGATTCTGGCAGCGGTCATGCAGTGGCGACGTTTCATGGGAACGCTCAAAGAAATGCTTTTGTATCGTGTTATTTGCGGTTGGTACATATGATACTTCTCTCGAATCATGGATTGACGGAAAATATGCAGGAGCCTCATACGATCCAGCCGGAACTCGTACCATGCATTCTGCAAGCAGGGTCCTCTATGGCTAATCTCCTTACGGAGGCGCTCGCACAATGCCAAGAAACTGAGGCACGAGTCGCAATTATCACTGACGAGATGCGCTCGCTCGTCGTGAGGCGGACAAACGTCATGAGTACCGGGATCGAGGCCGAGATTTTCTCGACTGATGAAGTTTCCATTCGAAGGCTTATTGCCCATTTCGTCTACGAAGAGACTTTAGAGGGAGGTCTCTGTGCACTGGACTTCATTCCACCATCACCCATACGGTCGGGTGCTGAGGCTCGAAGGCAGCCTAGACCTCTGCCGAGGCTCCTGTTGCGGAGGTCATTCGAAGACTTCGACGTTTATACCATGCAGAGGAACAGACTGGCTTGGGGGGATTTCATGATATGGTGGAAGATCTACAGCGAAGAGGCGAGAATATCGGGCAAGGCGCCATGGAACCTGCATCCTGGCACATGTCTTCCCGTCTCACAACCACGTATCTTCAGTGAGGGTGGACATAAGACATGGGTCCCGCAGGGACGCCCGTTTTTCCCCATTCCAGCGGAGACGAAAGCACTGGTTACGCAACATCATAGACCTAGGGATGACTACTTGCATAGCCTCCTCTACACCGGCGGAATGCACGATCCGGACCCCCAAGGCCACTGGTTTCAAATTTCCGCCATTGTACGTGCCGGTTCAGATCTATACTCTCAGACCTTTCTTGGTCATTACGATTCACGCGGCCCACTCTTGTGCTTGAAACTTTTCGATGAGCGGTTCTTTCCCTTACCAGAATGGCGTCCTGGGCATTGCGCACGACAACGGCTTAATGACTTAAATCTGGCTATTGATATGGCACGGCGAGAGGAAGCTGCGTACAAGCGGCTGGAATATCTTCAAGGCTCCCTTCTTCCACACTGTTACGGGTTTCACAAGGCAAGTATATTTGTTCCGGGACAAGTGACCGGGACTAACTGAGTGATCTACATAGTTCCTCCTTCCGGGCGGATGGCATGTATATGGCTTGCTCATGGAGGCTATCAATGGCCCTACCATGGATATGTCGGATATAAAAGATCGACCACGCGAGCAACAAATAGACATCGTAGGTTGCAAGGCAATACCTCTTTGGACTGTATCATACTGACCTTTCTCGGCAGATAAGGCGGCTGCGGCATGGGCTCAGAGCCATCCGATTTGCGGGAATCGAGCAGACAGACTGGAAACTTGATCAGATTTTGTGCCCTCCAAACCCCGAGAATTCCACCTTTGCCCCTGATATCGTATTCGTTGATTTTGCATTTGCTCTGCAGAACTGGGGAGACGTGATGGGATGTCCTCTGCACCATGAACCCGCAGCGCTTGAACTCGAATTACGCGACTGGGGGATTGACAAGGAGATCATGGATTCTTGCTGGTTCGAAGCCACCGAGGAAGAGTATTGATCACGTTTTAGACCTTTTCGTGCTACTAGTAGATGGAATGCACACGAAGCGCCGCTACATATTTCAGATATTCCAGCCACAATTGATGTACCGGTTAAGATCGTGTATAACGGACGCCCTTCCTGTCATCGTTTCCGCGTCTCAGAGCATCAATTGGAGCAGTTCCCCCGGGACTATGGGCCGTTTATTCCAATCGTGCTCCCATCCAGGCTTAGCGCCTTCTTCATCACCGATGGCAGGAAGACCATATACTGCAGTCACAAACCAGATACTCTTGTCACCTGTCGGCCCATGTTCGTCCATCAACGTGGGCAGAACCGCACGTGGAACCATGAGATTAGTATTGGCATCCGTCCTCATCGCTTTGCCTTTGCGTGAGCTACTGCCACCGTTACCGAGCTCGGCGATCCCACTGACACCAGCTCTCGACGCGGCACGCGCTTCGCTTCCTCTTTCTAACGTACCAAAGTTCTCGCCCGTCGAAGGCTCCAGCGCACGCCCGTCCTTCCCCTGACCGTAGATCGCAAAGCCGCCCTCAGCGCTCCACAGCTTCCTATCTGACTTGATCCTGTGGACACGAAGATGCCAGAGCGGCGTGTCGGGTTGCGGTGGGACGAGCCACGTCTCAATCTCGACCCCTTTCCAGGGGTACCACATGCTCCTGAGCCACTTTCCCTTGCGTCCCTCCCCTGAGCCCTCCCACTCGACCCGCGCCTCTTTTGTCTCGCGGCGGCATTTCCACACTTCGCCCGCATCGTCGGAGAGAGCAAGCGTGTTGTCCCCGCCGAGCTCCTCGAGAGTGAGCGAACCTACCGGGACGGAGTATCCAAACGCCGATGAGTACGCCAGCTTCCCATATTTCGCCGCGCTCTGCTTGACCGGGTACGAGCACTGCTGCCCCGAGCTGAGCAGGAACGTGTGCCCGCCGAGGTTCGATGCGATGTGTAGCGGCTTCTCGAGGAACTTGACCGTGTTCCTCAGCGCCGCCGGGTACGGCTCCTCCTGTGCCGCCCAGAACGGGTGGCTCTCGGGCAGAGCGAGGACGGCGAACGCCTTGCAGAACCAGTACGGGGAGCCGGGGGAGTTGTAGTTTTCGGTCATGTTATGGTTCGGGTAGCAATAGCCGATTGTCATCGTGCCGTCCGGGTAGTACGCACCGGGCTGTTTAGCCCAGTAGCGTAGGTTGCGCAGCTGCAGGCCCTTGATTGCGCCCCATGTGAGCGGGGCGGGTAGTTCGACGTCGGCGAAGGCGAGAGCGCCCCAGAACGATGACATCGCCGCACGATACGTGAGCGAACGGCCGAAAGGTATGCCGCGGCCTGATCGCGGTTAGAGATGTGTTATCAGTGCGCCGTAGAGCACTCACCTTCTTCGTCGAAATAGTGAACAAAGTCAAAGGCGAATTTTCTGGCCCTATTACGGAATTCTTCGCACCGCTCGGGATCGTCATCCTGGGCGAGCTTGGAGTAGGCTAGCTGGGCAAACTGAATGGCGAAGGACGAGGAGTAATAGTCCAACTGGACTACACCCTCCGGCCCGTCTCGCGACCAGCCGTCGCCGATGTAGAAAGTGTCGAGGTGGTCGAGATCCTTCTTCATGCGTTCCTTGGACCCTAGTGGGTGGCCGACCTTGGTTAATCCGAGGTTCGCAAATACCTGGTGTCATGTGAGACTCAGATATTCAATACGGGAATAGATGAGGATCTCACCCTAAACCAAAGCCAGTTCGTGTTCGGCATCTCCTTGTCGTTCATGCTCGCCAGCCATTTGGCAAAGTTGTTCTTCGCCTGTTCGGAGAGCGGGTCCCACAGTCTGTCCTTGGCAACAGCGAGAGCGAACCCAATTGCGCTGCACTCTACCATCCGCTGGTCCTTGTCTCTCATGTACCCCCAGAACTCATCGCCGTTCGGGTCCGTGCCGCTCTCGAACCCCTTCACCCACCTGTGCGTGCCCGCGTACTCGCCCCCGCCGGCGAGCAACGACGCTAGACCCCATATCGGTCGGGAAAACCCTTCGAGCTGGGCTGCAATGTCATCGTAGTGGGTGCCCGTGTATCCGAGGTGCACCCGCGCCCCTCCAGGGGAGGTGTGTGGCGCGAGAGGGTCTAGCAAGCCGACGAGGTAGGCCCTCACGTCGTCTTTGGTTTTGATAGGGTTGGATGCAAACGGGCTCTGGATGGTGAAAAGGGCCATGGCAGACGAGCTGCTATGCATTGGTCGTCGACGGAGGTCTTAAGACGATCGCAGGATAGACACCGGGCCGTGCCCCGCGGTCATCCATAGCTTGGATCCCGGACCGGCTGAGACCGTGACGGATGAACAAATAGCCGAGGCTGCTGGTACATACATATCCGCACTATGATACATAGTACCAACGTATGCGTGAGCAGGTCATTATTCCGAGAGCATCCCAGAGTAGACCTCACTGTATGATCGCTTTAAGTGCGGGAGTCAAGCCGCTAGAGGGTCTGCAACTTTAAATATTGGAGGTTCGCAACACGATATCCACGGAATTATTTTGGTGCCAGGTGAGATGATGGGTAGGGTCGTTTCACAGTCGGAACCCTCCTCACCGTAGCGGCAGTAGCCCTTCCGCCTCGAACCTTCGGTGTCGTTCAGACACACAATTGTTGTGGCTGCCACACGACATGGAGAAGTGAGTGAGGATTTGATCCTTCCAGGGTGTGAGCAGCAATACTCATAGATTCAACGTAGTTTCCTGCCTGCTTGATCCTGACTTCGGCCGTTACAAGGCAGCCGGACATCATATCGATGCTATACCGTGAAAAATCATGACTGAAAGCATCATATTTATCGTACGGTGACAACTTGACAGTAGTATAAAACCCACGTTATACAGGTCGTAGCTGTGGTGTAAAGGACTCGCACCTGCTGATGAAGTCGCTGAACGCGAAGGACCGAGATCGCGCCACAACCGCAATACGCGGCAGGCAGGTGACCGTGTTTGCTCCATATTTGGATTTATTGTGACTTGTTTGGTCTCGGTTGCGATTCATGCCACCGACGACGACGAAAGGCCTTTGCTCAATACCACTTCCGTCTCCCTCGATATCGTCCAATCTCGTTTTCAGAATGGCTCCGAGGGGTGGTGTATTAGACTCGTCGCCGATACCAATCCCGCCAGCGCCGGAGGCGCGCCCGAATCCCCTGAAACGGTCGGCGTCGACTGCGTCGCTGCCGACACCACCCAGGACTGTTCACAAGAGGAGGGGGCGCGGCCATGCACCTGTCACTCGTCGCAGGAGACCGGCGGGACATTCAACCGCAGAAGAGACCGATGACGAGCGCAGAGACGAGTTGTCGCACCGGCGACAGAAACGACGGAAACTAGAGACCATCGAGGAGACGAAGGAGACCGTCGAAGAAGACGAAGATGCATTCTGGATGGGTCCGTCGTCGAGCAAGGCAGAGGTTCGGAAAGAAAAGGTCGTAGTTGAGAAGAGGACGCGCTTGGTCGTGGTGGCCAGCCCCAGTACGAGCAGCAAACCGCGTACACGCTCAGAGTCACCCTCGAAGCACGTCGTCCTCGACCGCATCAAGGCGCCTGTATCACCCCCTCCCTCGCGGCGCCAGCCCGCTCTCCCGGTGACGCCACCGCGTACGACGCGCTCGGCCACGCGCCAGGCCCTGCTCGAAGCATCTGGCGGAGTCGCACGAGACTCTCCGGAGAACCCGTTCTTGGACACTCCCGAGTCGCTTGTGGGTGCGAGTCCGGGACCGCGCACGCCGTCGCCCACTGGCGATCTCGACGAGAAGCCTACCATCACCTACGTCTTGTATGTCTCCCTAGCGCTTGCTCCGCTCCTGTTGTACTGACCAGTTTCGACTAGCCGTGGCAAGAAAGCCGAGTTCGTGAATCCGCATTACAACCAGTCTCCGACTGCCCGCCTGCGTTCCCGGCTCCCGCCTGAGCACCCCGACTTTGAGCCGGACGAAGCCTGCCCGCCCAAGTTGCTCTTCCCTGCTGCGCGCCGTCGGCGCAAGGCCAAGGAGCCAGAACCGGCGGCCAAGCGCCCGCGCAAGAAGCCCGCCGTCAAGTCGGAGTGGGATACAACCGACGAAGAGGACGGGGAGGAGGAAGAGAAGGGGCCCACCACGCCCAAGAAGAAGAGGGCGAGGACGGGCACTGGGACGCCGGACCCGAGTCGCCTTGATCAGGGCATCTCGGTAGCTATGGGGGACGTTGACGAGCCTCTGCGGCGGGCGCTGGGTCCTTCCCGGGGAAGGCGTTGACGTCCTTTGCCCCGCTCGTTGCGGCATGATTTCCCTGCGGTGACTTATCGGTTATTGGTATGACGCTCTCCTCCACCAGCCTCTCCTTTGCTTTTGAATAATGCCTGCCATCCCATATCGGTCGATGTGTCGTTTCTCGTTTCATGTTTCCCTGTGCTTTTTTGCGATACCTGCTATTTCCGCCCCTCGCTGCGACACCCTATCCACACACATCCATCCACATCACTATTTCCTATTGTCACTGTCAGTCGAACCGAATTGCCGATGCACTCCATGTCATCTCACGTATCTACTCTATCTCAGTCCTCGCGTAGTAGTCAAGAATAGTTTCACAGAGCTTGTAGAGAAGATCGCAATATACAACGTATGTGCTTCAGTAGCGAAACGCGCGATTTGAGTGACGTATTTCCTTGTTTACTCGAAAGAGATGAGATTCTGTGCTTCATGCCTTTGAGCCTGGATTCTCTTGAGGTGTGCCAGGGGCCTGCTGTCCAGAGCCCTGACCGCCTCCATCCACGCCACGTCCAGGTGAGGGAAGAGACCGTCCAAGCACCACGCCACCTTGGCTGGATCGTGGCATCGGAGCCGCGAGATGGACAGGTACGTGAGCGTCCCAGCAGGTGCGACGAACATTTCGAGTTTCGAGTCGTCCAGTTCCTCGGCGACGACACGAGATAAATGGAGGTGTCTCAAGTGCGGGAGGCGAGACGGGAGGCGGGCGAGGCTGCGGTAGGTTATGCTGCTGTTGGGCACGTCGAGGTGCAAATTCGTCAATGCGGGGTAGGCCGTGAGAAGCTTCTCAAAGTCGAGATCGCTGAGGGTTACGCAGGGCACTCGGCTGGGGTTGAGTTCTAATGTCAGCCCTTCGAGGTTGCGGAACCGGAGGAGCGTGGAGAATACAGAGCGGAAGGAAAGCGTGGACAGTCGCGCCTCACGCACCAGTTTGTCAGTGGTGGGACCGGGTCGCGGTTTCACGCAGATCTCGAGGACCCGCAGGGTATCTTTGAATGCTAGTAGTCCTTGGCACACCTCTTGCAGGTCCATGGAAGTAATAACGTACGGGTCTCTAGCCAAGTAGTGGAATTCGGACAGACGCCGGGACGATACTGTAGCCAGCATGTCTTGCACTACCTGAGAAGAGGCAGCTTCAAGAAATAGCTTCCCAAGCTTTGGAGAGACAGATTCACATCCCGAGGATGTCGACTTCTTGCACGAGTTGCTTAGACGGAGATTTACGAGTTTGCAACGTGAGACGTCCGAGGAAAGGTCCAAAGGGGTCAATCCATATTGCGCATACTGCACGGGTACCAAGTCCTCATAGAAGGAGATGTTCTGAAGCCAATCAAGTTGCTTTAGGAACGTTATGTCGAATCTCGAGGAACAACCCCGGAGCACAAGGGTTTCAAGATCCGGGACTCTCCTGGACAAACTTTTGAGGAAGTTGTCAAGTAGTGCGTCCCCGCCGCGGGCCCTGGCAAGCTGCGTGAGGTAATGAGAGTAGCATGCTACAGCGCCAACTTTGAGGCAGCGCAAGCGACTGTTCAGCAAGGCGGAGATTGTCGAGGCCAACGTTCCGTCGAGAAGCTCGCCTGTCTCGTGTTGCCACTGTAGCTCGCGCAGGTTCGGAAGCAGTACCTTCCCTCTGGCTCGGAAGACCTCGACTATAACCGCATGGTCGACCTTCAGCCCGAAGCATCCAGGCCTGTACACTTGGCGCAGAAGCTGTATACGTTCTGCATAGGCATCGAACCGGGACCAAGTATCATACGGAGTGACTCCATGCACCTGCTCAGATTCATAAGCAGCTCAGCGTGCCACCAAGGATAATGGTTCACGTACGTACATAAGTGTATCTTCCCACTGTGAATTGGACTTTGCTCGGTACGAGATTGAGAAGGGGCATCAAGTCATGCATCTCGCGCCAAAGGGCATCCAACGCGAGTGTAGTCCACTGCCTGCTACACGCAGCAAGATTAACCAAAGTTTTCTTGCAGTCCATTGACGCGAGTTCGCCCTGGAGTGTCATTGTGCATACTCCGACCTGTGATCACCAAACCTGTATCGAAGCAGAGAGGGATATGCCTGTCGATTTTGAGTGCGTAGTCAAAGTCGTGCCACTGACGATAATTAGCGCAGGCGTCAGAGCAGATGAGAAGTACCAGGTGCCTAGTCAACGAAACAAAGGGCGATGAGTGCGTATCAACTGAAAGGGCTGTCTTGGAGTTGGACCCCAGTTAGTCCGAGGTATTGATCAAGCCGTGTGCCACAGGCAACCTGATACATCAAACGTAGTACGAGCCTGGACATCAACAGAAAGGGAGGAAATGGGCCCATATCGAGCGTCGTATACTCCCCTTTGTCTGTGCGAGCCTGGTTTGTCCTCTGCGTAGTTCGAGGACGGGCAGCGTTGGACAGCTGCTATCAGCCGGTTCATTGCATTCCGTGGAAACGTGGGGATTCAGAGGGTCGTCATAGTCCAGAACAGGGTTCCATAGGTATGTGGCTGGCCTGAGAGACTGAGACAAACTTCGTAGAAGGGCTCGGGAACGTATCTTATGCTTTGCTGTCAGTGCTTTGCATTAAACCACGCAATGTGATCTTAACTACGTGCAATGTCCAGTACCACACATGCAGACTGTATGCAAGGAACGACAGAAGGGGACGAACTAAAATACCATGATCAACATCTCCTCGGTACCCCAAAGGTCGGGTGGACAATCATCAACACAGTCTGGATATACTCGGCCACAGCTGGGCAAACCCAAGTGCGCAGGGAAGAATCTCCGGGCTCGTCTGCGCTACTGAGACGAGCAGTGGAGAAAAAATTGAATATATGAATGAACCGCACAATGGAGGAATGCAGCGACACCTACCTCGTCGACGGCTCGTTTCGTCCCTGCATATCTTCTTTCAACGCCAGCTATGTCGACGTCAAGAGGAACCTCAGCTTCATTCGTAACTTCGGGCACGTCGAAGGGAGGATCGGACGGCGGTGGCGAGGGTAAGGTCTTCGTGGCGTCGAAGCGTCTTGGACGTGATGCTGACGTTGGCGGAAGGCCGTCGCCGTCCGACCGCTTGCGATATACCTCGACCTTCAAAAGGAAACAACGGTGAGCAACCAAGCTAGGTACTCAAGCGGTTGACTGTTCTGTTACCGTTTCCCCAAAGGCGTCGTCGATTCCTGTCACTCTCTGCCAAGTTTCGTTATCTTCCCTCAACCGTCCATACGAGCTTCGACCTCGCGTAACAGATGTGACCTTGAATAGCCGTATAGCCGCATCACTATCGTCGCAGTCTGGAACTTCCCTCTTGGCCATAGGGGGCGGTAAATACGTAACGACTCTACGCTTGTTATCGCCTCCACTAGCCACACCATCTCTCTGGTCAGCGCGCCTGGCCAGCGCACCCGGTAATTTGAACACGCCGCTTTGCTTGATTCCTGCGCTCGTCTTCTCCACACGGGTTTTCTTCTTTGGTGGAAGCGTCGACCACTCGTCCTCTTCCAGGGAAGGATGACCGTAAGCCGCTACATGCGTGACCTTCGACTTTGACCGCTCACGCGGTTGGACTGCTCGGGGAGACGCCGAGCTCGGCAAACGGAAGCCACCTGGAGCGATGACCCTGCCTGCCGGCTTACGGACAGGAACTTGGGAAGAAGCGACCTTCACAATTGGGCTGGAGTTGACCAGTTGTGCGACCGCAATAGGTTCAGTTACGAAGGGCCGTTCACAGGTGGGAGAGGCTGGTAAGGGCAGCGCAGACGCCAGCCATGCCGGCATAGTACGATCTAGCTCCGAGGGAGGGATCCGAGGACAGGGCGAGGTCCTCACTCCAGGACGTGAGAAATGCGACGCAGGAGCATTGCGAGTAACAGGAGGCATCGAATGCGACCCTTGTGCACTGGACGCATATATCGCTTGTTTCGTCGCAGTGCAAATCCGAGAATCATCCCTCGCGACAGCGTGAAGTTCAACGCGATCTGTATATTAGAATTGTCCAAATAATCTGCCTGACAGACACAGTGACGTAGAACAAATCCTTACTGGAGACTCCCGTTGGCCGAATTTCCTTGAACGCTGAATTGGGCCAACGACGTCCGTCGAGAGCCCGAGAACGGAGTGGCTGAGAGTGTCTAGCGCCACCAGTAGGTGATGATTGAGCGTATCTGTCAGACAGAGCCAAGGGATCCGAAGAGAAGCACCCTGGATTCGGAGATCGAGCAGGAGACGAAAGGGAGGCATTAATTCGGTGAGGCCTGGCTTGGTGCGGGAAAGACACGGTTCTTCTGTTTTCGCTGGCGGCAAGGGCAGTATGACGATGTTCGCCAGCTCTACGTGGCGAAAGGGCCCCAGAGAGATCAAGTCCAGGGCAAATAATTGAAGTATCAGCGGAATGCAAGGGTATATGCGCGGGAGCTTCAGAAGCCCTTCTTGACAGAACCAGAGCAGGAGGGTCAGATACAGCATCGTTGGGAAAAGTCAAGTTGGATCTATCCTGAATCTGTGCCATAGAGCCTGAATCACTCATAGTCTCAGGAATACGACTGATAGTAGCCACGTTAGCACTTCTACTGGGTATATGCGCTCTATCACTGGGCGTTAGCAGTTCGCACGAAGCATTAGACGGTCTAGCCGGGATCGCATGCCCATCCCTAGCCTCAAATGCCCTTGAGCGTGGGCTGAGACGTACAAGGCGAGAGGTAGGCTCCACAACAGCCGAAGTGTAGACAGGTACAGTTGGGTTATGAGATAGAATATCTGCTTGCTTTTCGTGACTTGGACCAGCAACAGAACGGCCACGTTTCACAGATAGGAAGGGCAGACAAGAATCAGAAGGACAGATGGGATTCTTGGGTTTGTTAAATCTTGCACGCTCAGCCTGCCTCTTGAAACCGTCCACGATCCGCCCTTTCGGCCCCCCCTTCGTCGTCTCGGACGGCTTAGTACCAGTTGATACGCGAGGACTCGGACGACCAGCTCGAGACGCTGCATTAATCTTCGCTATACTCCAGGGATTAGCCTTGTACTGAGCCTTATCTTCTCGAGCACCGAGGTCGATCTCTTTGAGCAGCCGAGCGTCTTCAGTCTGCTTTGTCGCCGAGGAGAAGGATTCCGAGCCCTCAGCGTCGCTGTCGTCAGAATCGGCAAATAGGTTCCGGTCGCGTAGATTGAAAGTCCAGTCGGATTTCGCCCCTTGCGCAGCTGAAGGGTTATGAGACATAGAGATGATGGAGGAGACGGACAGACTTGAATATCGCATTACTATATATGTGGGAATAACGCACGTAATCAAGTCGCACGGTATACGTAGGCGTGGTCGCCACTGTAAATAGTTGAGAAATACGTAACACTGAAAATATCCTCTGAAGTACTACCCAGGTCACCCTGCTAAATCGCAGGTGCGGCTTGCGTAGCGCGTATTCTAGCAATGCGGGTTTTTGTATTGACAGCTGAGTTCATTGACTGATTGCGTCGACCATAACCTTTGAGCTCGGCCATGCCGCAAGGTCACAGATCTACCCTCAGAGAGGGAGCCCTGTACATTTTTGGGCGACATGAAGTCCACCGTTTAGGTTGAGTGCTTCTCAATACGTGGTCATTAAATTGACATGTACTCCCACCTCCAACCGGTACATTTTCGGTGCACCGCTATCCATAACAGTGGAGACTCAATTGGGGGAAGATTAACAAACAGCAGCGAATCCGAGACCTGCTCTTTGGCTTTGATCACGGTAAGTCTAGCCCATCACGAAGATTCTTTGGCTGCTCCCAGCTATGCGACATCGGAACCGCAAGGAGTAGCTAGGAACCTCTTGGCGGGTACGTTGTGCCAGGGAACACAGTGAGCTAACAGTTTCCGAGTCGAGGTTCAGAAGCGCTGCATGAGTAATACCTGGAATATTATAGGGCGATCTCGAGGGGAGATCGGCGGTCAACGGTAAGCACAGATGTTGGAACCTTTACACTGGATTCATCGTGGACATCACAGTTCCTGACTGTATCCAATTGCCGCGAGCTGAAACTTACCCTCCTGAAGTCGTCTCGAAGCGTACAGGTTAGATATATCAGATGAAAGTGAACAGTCGCCCTTTCCCGAGTTCATTGTAACTACTGCTCTCTTCCCAGCGGCAACTACGTATATGAGTCCTCCAGGTGGTCTCACATAAGGTATGTGTATCTCCAGGATCGTGAGCGATTCTCAAGGGAAGTCGCCTCGGGCAGCCCTCGGCACCCCAAGGGAACCTTCCCGTTTCGGTTCTGTTTCCCAGAGCTGGTCCCGCATCCAAGGCTACGGCATGTTCTTACATTGTCCTCCCACCGCGCTCATCATCATTTCAGATTTTTCATTGAAAACTGGGGCCCAGCGACTGCCGTGCAGATTTGCAGCTTCCTCTCCTCTGCTGGTGTGGGATGAAGCTTGTCTCATCGAGTCGCCCGGCCCCTTCTCGATACCGAGCTCGGACCTACCCGCGCTCAACACGTTTCCGCCCACGGAAGACTAAGGTGGAGTTAGCGTTATCGTCAGTCTTTCAGTACCTACATTGACTGCAACATATGCTGTTCCGAAATATCAGGTGCGTCATATCTTACGTCTCTTGCGGGCAGGGAGGTAGTGAGATCGGGTGCGGATATCCTGGGCATATCTCTGCAGAGCTATTCTGGTCATCATCTGAAAATATCGTACCTCCGCGCGCCTTAGCAGAGCCGACGATTGTCCTGTCCCTCGCTGAAGTTCCTATTAGAAGTCGGCACTCCAGCAGGGAGAAAGAGACATAGCGTTGGTGCCATCGATGCCACAGCGGTACCTTCGATGACAGTATTCCCATACGGAAGAAACTCAAGGTACTCTTCCATCAAACCACGCTCCCAGGTTAGCTCACCATTATTCATTGGACCGTGCCGTGTTTTCCGGTAACCATGAGCTGTTACGGCAATCCTGGTTTTCCACAGTACACGCCTGCAAAGGTGTGTAATTCCACCTACCATCCTGGAAGGCACAGATGCTTTACACGGCGGTCTCACAACAGATATACGGCAAATATGTCTCTTCTTCTGTCAGTATGCACTTACGTAATGGAATGCACAGCGGATTGACCCTGACCACCTTATCGCTCCTCGATTCAGCCGCTATCTGCGAAGAAAGGTCGACAATGACCCTTGAATTTACAACCCTATGCACCGTAGGCTACGAGAATGCTGGGGTTCGAAGGATCCACCTTGAATTTCAGACATTCCTTCCGATTCTGTATGCCAGAAACGTAGGACGGACTAGAAATCCAAGATGGATAGCCTTCTCGAAAGGCTCATTGGTGAGCTTAATCGTTTACATATTTACACATGCAGTGCAGAACTATCCGGTGATCCGCTCACACGTGTAGCTGCCTTGTTCGAATCGAGGTACGTACTTACCCAACTCTAACTGCAATGCAGATGATGATCACGTATGGTGGAAAGTATTGCTTAATGACTGTTTTGCCGTATCCGACAAGGCGGGCCGTGCATGTGAACATTTCCCAGGTGGTCGGCCCACTGATCCTCCCGTGCATTCTCGCTATCCGTCGCTTACCCCACAAGTGCCCGACATTGTGTTCCACAACTCAATGGGTGGAATACATGCAAAGATGTTACCCGTATCTCGTTCCACTCCACATGCGGTTGGGAAGCGCTTATGCAGTCCATGACAGGCGCTATGATTCTGCCATTATCGTGGTATGATGAGGCGTCGCTGTTATAGCACCAAGGGTTAACAGGGTCGTACCGGCGTACGGTCAGATATCGCAATGTCTGACATACCGGAACCTTACCTTATTATGTACGTCGCTCCATTGGAGCTCCGGAACTCCTCCCAGAAACTAAGCGATTGACATAGGTGATGGGACATCCTCCCCTGTATTCGCCGGAAATCAACGCCTCGTGTCTAGCGATACATATTCAAACGTAAACGAGGACATCCCTTCTCTTTCCAAACCAATGGATAGCTGTCTGATAGGTTCGTACGCTGGTATCGTGTCAGTTCTCGTTATTCATCGCTCCTGTGGATCAGAATACGAACAGTCACTGGTGGGTTGCGAGGTAACTCCGGCGGTATTCGGTTACCAGATTGCACGATTGCACCTCCGCAATACTGAATCTTGTCTGGTTTCACGGCGTGCCTCGCGGCGTTCTTAACCTCTCGCTCTTTCTCAGCATATTGACTGGCATTTTGGTTCGACTATAAAACACGTCAGCGCATGGCGTGCACCGCCTTTTCATTCTCTCCCAAGCCCCCACTCTCGGCTGGGTATCCACTGCGCGAACGATCAACTGCAGTCCCAGCTCTCAGTCCAATCCTCGACACGCTACCTCTCGTGTCTGACATCGTTACCACCATGGACGTCGTACCGCCCGAGCTCCTCTCTCACATCATCTCCTTCTCTACCCTCGACGGCGGGTCGACAGCGCAGTCCCTGCTACTCGCCTCCAAGACAGTCCACGCGCTGACTCTACCTTTCCTCCTCCAGTCCCTCTCCTGCTCCGGCCTGTCCTCCATCCAGCGATTAACTTCCATCCTTAAGTCGCTCAAGAATAACGCAGAGCGGGACGGTCGTAAATACATACCGCCCGTGAAGCATCTTTTCTTGTGCGATGTCAGCGGCAAACGAGCTTCTGACGCCGACACTTTTGTTCCTACTCCGCCGGAGTCGGAGGACGGAGAGCAACTGCAAGAGCGTGTCGATACCCCGAGGGTAGAGACTTCGAGCGACGAGATCCATAGCCTGCTGGTGGCCTACACTGATCTGTTCGACCTTCTCGCTCCTTCCCTCGCATCGCTGACCTTCCTCGCCTACAACCCCAGCATCACACCCTACCGAATTATCATTGACACATATCTCCCTCGACTTCGCTATCTCTCGATGCGTTTCACTGCCATACCCTACATGCGGACGTATGTACCGGATGTCAGACCGGAGGGAGAAGCGGATTCGGAGGTATTAAAGCACAGGCTTCCCGAGCTCACACATCTTCATATGGGATTCACGTCCAAACCCATGCTCTCCGATGTGCCCCTCGGCTTTCTCCAGATGACATGTGAACGGGCGCCTAACCTATCGGAGGTTAAGCTCACCAATGTACGATTCTCGGATGATTGCGTGCAATCTCTTCGGAAGAGCTTACGCCTCGGGCGCTTGGTCAAGTCGCTACAGACTCCGAGCACGCCAAGTCTGGTCGACATCGACGCCACCGACACTGCCGAATCTGAGCAGGGAACTCTGCAAGGGCAAACCGACGCGGCGTCGAGTACGGACGACGACTCAAGCACCGATGTCGAAGAGGAGGAGGAAGACATTCCTGACACCCCTTGGGCAAGCTTGGACAGCGTCTATATTCAACCTGCGAGATGTACCAAGGATGACATAGCTCACCTTGACGCTCTCGGCAACTTACAGATCCTTGCCTATGTCTCAAAGTCGCAGTGCCGCTCCCTTGGGGGAAAACAGGGGGAGGAAGAGGGTGGAAAGCGCACATCGTTGAATATCCTTCCTACCGCGACGGTAGGGGTGTACAAAGAGTGGAAGGAACGTTGGGCGGGTGAGATCGCTTCCATTCCCAATCTAGGGAGCCTCTACGGTGAGCGTGAGACGGAGGAAGATCTACTTGCTTAGGTGAGCTCGTCGCATTTACTCTGAAACTAAGCTTCATACACTGATACCGTCCTACTTGTTGCGCAATAGAATTCATCATCGCTGAATGACTGTCCGACGTCCTGATTGTGATTTCATTCGGTCCCTTCATCATTCGACTGTAAAGCGCGTCCAAAAATCTGTATTTCTGCTTCCTTAAACGGTGTCGCACTGTCAATGTTGTTATCCCTTAGAGTCTTGGTCTTAATTGTATGTACCCGTCCATCTGCTCGCATGTATCGTCGCAAGTCAACTTCGCATCCTGTAACACCACGCTTCTGGAATACACAATTTACCGCAGCCTAGCTAAACTACGCAGGGATCAGTTATCCGTGCTCTTTATCCAATCATCAGCTCGAAGTAGTCCGCTACCCCCTCCAGGTTCAAGAGAAACGCTCCTGCAATGCCATCTGGACGCACTATCACGTAGACGCTGTCCGAATCTGAGACGCCATGACGGTACGCCGAGTAAGCATGACCTTTGGAGTCCACGTATATCTTACCGCTTCCTCTTCGCCACGGATCAAGGGTCATGGAAGAAGCTCGCAGCAGAATATAATAAGCCGACGCTTGTCCCGTACATTCGTACGGTTCAAAGATGTCTTGAGCTGCGTCCAGAGAGGGAATTGTAAACAAGGGCGGGAAGACAAGAATGACATGCATCCCCTTGCCAGCAGTCCGTCCAAAGATTTCGAACAGGGTTACGGAGCCGCCGGTATCGCCTCTGGTGTTTGTATCTGTGAACAACGAAGCGCCCAACTCCTGTAGTTCTCGCGCGTCAGGAGCCCTGTCGCCGGCCGTAAGCTCGCCTCGTGTTGCATCGTATGCGCCCTGAATGCCATTCCGTGGGTCAAAACCGGGGTGCCGTTCGTCCAGGACGATGCCGCTCCATCGGTAGTTAACCCCCAACTGCAGCAGATTCTTCGGTCTGTACATTGGGTCCTGCCTTGCTCGCGACGCATCATCGATTGGTCGATTAAATTCCAGAGCATGCAGAGAGTTGGTCAGGTTGAGCATCTTCGCTATCACCGGAAGGCGTTCGGAGGTATACGATTGCAGAAGAGTTTCACGAGCGAGGCCCTTCAGCACATATGCGAGTTTCCATCCCAGATTAAACTGCAAGAGCATCGGTATCTCCTTCCCTCTCTGGACAGTGGATATATAGAGATCATACCGAGTCCATAATCGCAGTATTGAGTCCTTGCCCCCCTGCTGGAGAATGGCAATGTGCGGCGTCTAGCGTGCGCGTGAGCTTCAATTCAAAGTGATGAGTGACATACAGCACCTCCTACCAAGAATACCCGTCCGACTTGGAATTTCTCTGCCATACGAATATTCGTCCTATATGATATGATAAATGTAAGAAATTGAGTTGTAGAGGCCCACTCACCGCCACTCAGTTACCCAGCTGACGTCGGTGAACTCGATGTCCGATCTATTGCTCACTCGATTGAAAAGGGCTTGCATGCCCTTAGGATCAGTGGGAACTGGATCGGGGAGTTCTGGGCCGATTGCATGAATGCGGAACATAGGGGAGGGATGGAGCGGCTTGCAGAAGAAGCTAAGGTAACCGGACCTGTGAACTGGAACCTTACCCGGAGTTATGCAGACTTACGCTATCGAATCGAATGAGCCCCAGCGATGCCAATACTATGGGGGCATTGGGATCAAGCGAACGCACTTATTGACAAGACGAACGTACATTCCGATCAAGGCCAGGAATATCTGCGTTCCCGGTGAAAAGTCGCTCTGATTCTTGGGTTTCACCTAAGAAGCTGATGCCTAACAGCTTCCGAGTCCGTCCTATGTTTGCCGTCAGAGACTGACTTGGGGAATGTCGTACAACCGTTCGTACCCTTTGCACCGTCAGCGCCAATTAGATATCGGCATGTGATGCTTTTTGCCACCACATTTTCGTCCCTGGTGACGTGGACGTGCGCGAGGGCGGTGTGCTTACACTGTTCTACGGAGATAAGCTCTGTACCCGTCTCGACTTCCACGCCCAGGAGTGAAAGGTGCTTGCGAAGGATGCACTCTAGAATGCCTTGACTGATCGGCGCGGGTTTCGACTGTAAGCATAGTTACACAACATGCTCAAATTATATGGCAGGGAGAGCCCACATATGGAATGTCAGGAGCAGCTTCGGCTATCTCAGCCCAATCGATCATGTTAATTGGGTCATCCAGGCGGGCGCCATGGATAGCCATCCTTAATGGAGGAGTAGCCACATCTAGCACCTCACGAATGAATCCCAGGAACGCAAATACTTCAAGGGTTCGAGGCTCAACATCCACCAAGCGTCAGCACAAAACATAAACAACGGGCTTGACGTGAGCGAACCTGGCTAACCGTCCCTCTGGCTCCCATATGGAACTCTCTCCTGCGCTCGATAAGCCTCACATGTATCCCGTAGCGACGCAAGGCGATAGCTAAAACGAGACCTGCAGGACCACCCCCGACCTATGCACGACCGTGGATGAACAGATCAACACAGGCTCGTCCCAGGCTATGACTGACAATAAGGACTGGAATCGTTTCATGCATTCACGCTCCTGGCCGTATTGGAGGATAAGTGACACATACAAGAGGAGTCCATCTGGCAGCCTATATACCCCAGGTACCATCTATGACGACTGACTTAGGGAAGTACGGGTGCCAAACTGGTAAAGCTTCAAGCGGTTGATTTGCATAGTAAATAGAGGACGTACTCGACAACGTGTTCGTACTTCTGCCTCTTCGCGCTCAGAAGATAACGAAGGACGTCGATGTTGATCTGGCTGATAAGCCTACTGTTCAGTGCAGCGCGCGGGCTCCCAAAACCACATCTTTGAGGCACTATCGGAGGCCTCAGTGACATCTTTATTACTTAACAACGGAGACAAGCGATGAAGTCGAAGCAGAAGGAGTACGAATCTCACGTTCCAGTTATTCAGAATGTGACATGAAGTAACAACCTACGATTCTCCTCGACGAGACAACCACGACCGTCACAGGACCAGACACTTCCTTCGCCTGGCATAGCTGAATACGACGTCGAAGACTTCTTCTTAGTATAGCAGTGGGTGGCTGACCAGCGCAAGTACAGTCAATCTTCGCAAGATTGCGCTGAGAGCCTGAGAAAGCCTCTCATCTCTTAGACTCTCTTTCGCTCCCACAACGACTGAATCGAAGGTCAGGGCAGGCTCAGAGATATTTGTGGATATGGACTTCAAGGTACTCCAGTTGAGGTTGTTCATGGCACTCCTATTACCAGGCCCTGCCACTGCCGCTGCCACAATCGTGCGAAGCCGGCATGACTGACACGTGCCCGACCGCTGCCACATTAATGCTCGCAGTGCAGAGGGGAACTCAAACACGGTCAGGTGGAATGCCAAACGCTACTCGCAGACCGTTTGACGCAAACCAGTAGGCTGCTTCTCTGAAGCCATTCTCTTTACTAAAGTAACCTTCCCGCGCTCGAGATACTACACGTGCAACGCTACTCCCTCCCTGCGTATGAGAAGTTATTGATCCCTTCCTTGACTTCCTTGACAATTTCCGGGAGGTCGTCTGGAATTGCAATAAACGTCGCGAAGGCTCTTGATGTTCTACGCAGTCTGCCGGCCCTTATAACGCTCGTCCTGGAAGACGCAATATTGCCAATGTCTTGGTATACAAATTCGTATGCGGAAGATAGAGAATTGCTTGCGGGGTCGCCGAAGTGTGACACCGTACTTCTGCGCTTGACGAATCTCCATGTTCGAGGCAACCTCATTCCTTGCGTCGAGCTCCTCCCTAATCTCACGCTCCCCACTCTTGGCCGCCTCGACCTTGCCTTGGGCTCACTTGACTGCAGTCTCGGACGGAACCGTACCACCGATATCATCGAAATCGAAGTCTCCGAGGCTATCAAGCCTCTTACCGGGTTGATCGCGAACGTCTCTCATGGTGGTCATTTCAAGAAGCTTGCGATAACTACTTCTTGGAGACATGACTACATCGACCGGCAATACGAGGGCATTTGTGCATAGACTCGTAGCGAGTCCGCGGATTCGGGAAAGACACAGACCACGGTCCGCCTAGGAGTAGGGGTAAAAGAGAAGAGGTCGGAGAAGGTGCGACATGCTCTCCTCTGCTGTCTCCACAAGAATGGACTGCAATATCTGCAAGTCCCTACCCCGCTCGCCGAGACTGCTTGGGAAAGGCGATTCAACGATGCGCAAGACGTGACCAGACTCTGGCTCACGGGCGCCGACGATGCGATCGTCAACGCATTGTCGGTTACGGAAAAATCAACCAACAAAGGGGAGGGAGTCTCTTATTCCCCAGTCTCCAAGTTTTGCGCATAGAGGTGGAGTACAATGACGGCGGGTACAACGGAATTCGCAGAAAAACTTGCCCGAGCGCTGAAGTCAAGGCAAGATGCTGGCCACCCTTTGGAACGGCTCCACATCCGAGGAGCCGAAGGCTGGACGGATAATGATGTGCGAAGCTTACAGAACGTCGTGAAGGAGCTTACTGTGGAGACCTCGGCAGACGTCCATGTCGTGACCGAAAAAAAGGAGAAGTAACACGAACGTGGGCTAGAAAGGACTAGGGGCGAGCGAGACAATTGTGCAGTGATGTGGTGGTGGTGGTGGTGCGGATACTTGCGTAGTTAACACGTAGTCAGCTCTCTACCTAGTCAGATCGTGCGAATCAGTAATGATCGAGCGTAATGTAGCCGTTGGAATTTCATGGGCGGCAAGAAACTGTACGTATCCAAGGAGTATGACATGCAAGGCTTCCAGATACTGGCATTCTCGCGGGAGCGAGTGTGAGGTCCCACGGCAACAGTGAGTATTGACCCGAGAAAGCTAAGAACCAATTATGCGGTGGTCAGTAATATCGTACACGCTCATGCTTACCAGGGCATCTCAGCATGTGGTCGGGATTTAGTCCGAACGTGTGCTCAGTTACGCGCCAGCCTACGGCCGAGTCGTGATCATGGCCGCATGGATGTTGCATTAAATCGATCAAGCAAGGGAATGCTCTACAGCCTCATTAGACCACAGCCTCAATTATTGGACACACATCAGAAGAATTGGCCTTCCTCGATGTCTCTCGGGACGGGAGAAGTGCCCACAGGGCTCGGCCAGTAGCAAGGCAATGTTTCGGTCACCCGTTCCGCATCACCTCTTGAGATGAGCTCGGCCTCCGCCAGGTCTCCTGCGACAACGGACATCCAATACCTGCGTGAGGGAAGAGTTAGTTTTCCAGATTGGTAGAAACTGTGAATGGTATATACCTGCAACCCTCCATATTTCTAGTAAAGATGTAATGATCCCGACCCTTCTCGATAAGGACACGAAGGACACCGCCAACGATCGAAGTCTTACACGGTTCGATGGTGACGCATTTCGCCTGGTCAGCGACGACACCGACGTCTTCCTCTTCCAGGATAATCATGCCCGGCTGTCCAGCTGCGTTCGGCGCACAGTCAATCTTTACAGAACGACGTGCTGCAACTTCAAGGAAGATCGACCAATGATTAGTCGGTGGGAGATCACCATCGCCCAGATTATCCAGGTTTGTGAGGGCAACGAAATGTATGGCGAGGACGGGCGACGCCAAATCGCTGAATTTGAACCGGGATATACCCCAGTTATCGTCATTTTTGAGATGACTCTCGACTTCAGCCAGGTTCATGATAGGATTTGGCGTTGAGTCTGATGCTGGAAGAACGACGACGGTTGAAAAAGGTGGGATGTAGCCAGTGACGAGCTACCTCCAGACTCTCCGGAACCGACATTGTCCTCAGCTAGTGACTCGACTGACCCCGTGGCAGGCTCTCGAGGGCTTCGAACAAATCAGTATTTGTACGTCCACGCGCAGCGGGGTTGTAGAAGTCGCCGAAGGGAGAAGGTTGGTTGACAGATGCCAGTGTGGCATGCGGCGCAAAGCCGGCAGAATGATCGTGAGTAGCGGGAGGTGCGAAATGCGCGAACGCTGCTTCGCTTGGGGAACAGTCAACACAACAGGGCCCAGGTTCAGAACGGGTTGAATGGACTTGAAGTAGAGCTGTGACATGAGAACCCGTGCGCAGTTCTCGCATTATGGGCAAACGTAGGCTTCGAATCTCTATGAAATTACAGTAAACATGCTATCGATATAAATCAGATTTGCGTTACAACGCTCTGATTGCTCTGCCCGTATTTTTACAACGATCGTACTGCTTCTATGTCTTCTTTCTTTCCATCTCAAAATCGCGCCAGGACCCTTCACTCCTTGCGGTGCTTCTGGTAGTAGTGGATCAAGCCAGTCGTCTGTAAAATCCTTCATTTCAGTGATCTCGAACGACATGGAGTGAACTTTATACTACTGACCGAGCTATCATGTCCCTTGACATCCTCAGGCTTCCCAAGCTGTGCGAGGATGTTCTTAGCGAGCACCTTCCCGAGCTCAACACCCATCTGGTCGAACGAGTTGATGCCCCAGACGACACCCTGCACGAAGATCTTGTGCTCGTAGAGAGCAATCAAAGCGCCTTTGGAACCTTGTCAGGCGACATCCAGATCAGGCATCGAATCCACTGTCTCACCGAGAGTAGCAGGGGTCAACTTCGGGAACATGATACTGTTGCTAGGCTTGTTCCCCTCGAACACCTTGCTCTTGACCAGTGCCTGGCTGGCATTCGGGCCCAGCTCCTGCTTGACCTATTCGCCACCTCTCCGGTCAGCGAGGGTTTGCCGAGTCAAGTTACATAGCACCGTACCTGCTCCTCAGTCTTCCCGAACGCGAGTGCCTCTGGCTGCGCGAAGAAGTTACTCAGCAGAATTCGGTGATGTTTCGAGTTGCCAATAGGGTTGAGCGTCGTGGCAGGAGCGAGGAAATCGCACGGAATAAGCTTGGTGCCCTGGTGGATGAGCTGGTAGAACGAGTGCTGGCCGTTGGTACCCGCCGCACCCCAGATGATCGGCTGGATTACCGTCGGGGTAAGTTCGGATAAATTACAGGTATGCTGACGGGGTGCTTACCCCGGTCTGATAGTTAACGCGTTGGCCGCCCTTGGTAACCGTCTTACCGTTCGACTCCATGTCGCCCTGTTCGGAAGGTCAGCCTATGCCATAAGTAATCTCGGCGATTTCGCACGCTCACCTGCTGGAAGTAGTCGGCAAATTTGTGGAGGTACTGGTCGTAAGGGAGGAGACAGTGGGTCTGAGCGCCTAGATGTCTCTTCAGTACCGACGAAGGTAAATGAAGGGATTCCCATACCATAGAAGTCATTGTACCAGATACCAATGACAGCCAGGAGGACAGGCAAGTTCTTCTCCAAGGGCGTTGTCTTGAAGTGCTTGTCCATCCCATGTGCGCCCTTGAGCAGCTGCTCAAAGTTGTCGTACCCGATTACCAAGCAAATCGACAACCCGATCGCACTCCAGAGACTGTACCGTCCACCGACCCAATCCCAGAACGCGAACATGTTCTCCTTTGCGATACCGAACTCCGTGACGGCCTTCGTGTTGGTACTGAGCGCGACAAAGTGCTTCGCGACGTGCGCCTTGTCCTTCGCCGTCTCGAGGAACCAGTCCCGCGCAGTCTCCGCGTTCGTGATCGTCTCCTGCGTCGTGAACGTCTTGGACGCAATGATGAACAGCGTCGTCTCGGGGTCGCATACGCGCAAGGTTTCCGCCATATGCGTGCCGTCGATGTTCGAGACAAAGTGCGCCGTCAGATCGCGCTTCGAGTAAGCCTTCAGCGCCTCGGTGACCATCACAGGTCCGAGGTCCGAGCCACCGATACCGATGTTGACGATCGTGTTGATGTTCTTACCGGTGTATCCCTTGTGCGTTCCGTTCCGCACGGCGTCGCTGAACTCCTTCATGTGCGCCAGCACCCCCGAGACTTCGCTAACGCCCGCCTCGGAGATCTTGAACTCGTCGAAGTTGCGGAGAGCAACGTGCAGGACGGCACGATCCTCGGAGGTGTTGATGTGCTCACCGGCGAACATCTTGTCCCGATACGTCTCAACCTCAGCCTCCTTCACCAGCGACAGAAGCGTGTCGAGGATCGGTTGGGTGATCAGGTTCTTGGAGTAATCCAAGAGGAACGTTACTGAGGGATCGTCTGGAGAGACATATTCCTTGCTGAACTTTTCAAAGCGAGCAGGATCCTGCGCAAAGAGCTCCTTCAGTACGAGCTTCGAGTGTTCCGACTCGTAAAGCTGCTGGAGCTTCTTCCAGGAAGGATATTCTGGATCACAGAATTCAGCGGGTTGCCCTACGCGTCTTTCTGTCCTGCGTGCTCACCTGATGCCAGTCTCCCGCTCATGATGAATGTCGATGTCGATGGTCGTTACAGTGTCTGTCTACTTGGGATATCTCTGTCGTCCTTAATATCGTCATATCGTGGGAAGTGATTCCCATCGGTACGGAGGTCAGTGGCAGATCCGGCCTTTTAGGACCCTGAATACCTTGAGAGCAGAACACTCCCGGTTCAATCCCTGCTTACACCTGTAACGTTTCAGAGCTGCATTCAGGGTTGGAGCGTAGTATTCAGCAACATACTCACTATAATCAGACGACCTGGATAGCTAAGATACGAAGAAGGCAGGACAGATAAGTCCCAACTATCCGAGGCGGAGGTGGTAGTCGAGGGAAAGGATGGAAGGTAATTTCGCTCGAGTGGTACCTCATTATGTACACCCCGAAATATAACGGAGCACCATTTGCCTTGACATATCACAAATGCCACTAGTCACGGCGACAGACCTAATCTAGTAGTTCGGCTTCCCGACTGAAAGGTTTGGTGGGTTCGCGCGACGAAAGTATCCGGAAGGTCAGGATGCCCGCAAAATGGCTTCTAGTACGTGTGTTTAAACTAAAAGTGCACCATAACATGTACCAGGGACTCAGGGAGAGAGAGAGATTCAGCAATATCTCGCCGCAACCCTCGTGTAGACGTAGATCCTACACCTTTGGATTATTGATTGTCATTAATATCGAAGATGCGAAGGGTTCACAAAAAAAATCCTTCTATTGCCCTAGATAATTCGCCTGATCATGAGCTGTCCAGCAGGTCCGGATCCGGTCGCCACAAGGAGCCACAACAGTTGTATGCGGGGTCCGGTGTGCAGGACGGGGTGCACACTACTTACCGGGCCGCACAGGGTGCCGACGTTGCTAAGGCGGGCTGAGGAGGTTATTCAGCGCTCTTTCTGGAATCGACATTTTCTTTCCCATGCTGACTGGGGAACTGAGGCGAGCAGAATGGTGTCAAGCCCATTACTCTGCGAACGTGCTTTGCTGACTGGGATATCTTCGCCGTGTTTGATCGGACGTTCGCGGACGTAATGTTCCCGTTCTGAAGGTCACTCGGTAGTCGAACTAGCGGAATTTAAAAGCTAGTGAATCGACATGGCAAGGCGAACTTCTTCATCCTTCTCTACAAAGGATGAGCTTTAGTGCAACTTTGAACGCTTAGAATAGGGCCTCTCGCTACAAGGGATCTGCACTGCCAGGCACGCCGCGTTGCGCCGGACTGAGAAAACGATGACTCTTCGTCGCCGTCTTTCACCGAGATCAGTCGGTGATCCAAGAAAACAAAGAATGCTGCGCTTTACAGAATAAATCGCTCCTTGAGAGGCTGAAGTACTGAAACACTAATAATTACGGCGCTTATGGACGGACGGTTGTTGTCAACGCCACACATGCACGTGGCTGCCGCGGGCCATTGTCCGACTAGCCTGAGTCGCAGACGCGTTCAGACTTGCACTAGTACTGGCAGCCTCTTGCAGACTCTAAAATCCTAGACTGATCCCCAACTTATTCTACTCGTCTCTTGTTATTTCTTGCTTTTTGCCGAATCCGGGACGTTTTACGAGGAAAAACAGAGAGACGAGACTTGCGCGACAGCAGTGGCGCAGACATTCATGTGAGTATACGCTGATGGCCAGAGGGGCGTTAGATTGCGGGGAAACGCTCGTGGGTGCTACGCAGACGAAAGACTTGAGCGGTACTGGTCTTCTGCATACTCCCATGCTGAAGACGATCGTGCACAGATAGCGCCGACCAGTTACCAGCCGTTCGAAGTCATGAATGACCCTCTCCCGACGCCACCACTGAATACGGCATCAGCGGGACCTTCCACGCCCCCTCCAGCAGATAATTCGCAGAATGCGACAGTGTCTTCGGACGCTAGTTTGTCGCTTGATGGTTTGCTCATGCAGATCACGTCCATCAACGACCCCGAGGCCTTGGACAAAACGCTGCGAACATTTGCGCCGAAGGAAGTGAGGGAAACGATACTGGGCAGCTTACTGCCAGATGGCGCGGACCCGTTACAAGTGTTGGACGTGAGAAGGAATACGCTGGGGATCCTTTATCTATTGTGAGTCTTTCCTTCCAATACTACATCAGTAAGGGAAGCCGGCACTCGAACGTCGGTTCCGCTTGTAATCCCTTTCATTATGTCTGCATGACGCATTTGACGGGATTCATGCCTATTTGACGCTAGGTCAGCTCGACTGCAGGTCAACGCCGCCGGTGCGCCACCTCAGCATGTGATCGAGACATTTTGTCGTGAGTTCGACCAAGCACAAGCTAGGGTCGCACCTGAGCGAGGTTAGTTATCTCGAATGGTTAGCAATGGTCTACTCTGAGATATCTAACACTGTCGGATAGTAACGATGCTTGCGAGAGGAATCATACAACTAGGACAGCAAGTTGGCGATGTGAGCCTCGCTCCCGCTCCTGCGTGTCAAGTCAGAGCAGATGATGTAACTTCTCATCACTTTTCACGGTTAGGTAAAGCTCGCTGTGAAGCCTTTGCACGACCTTCTAGTCCGCTTCCCTCCAAGCTTGTCCTATCTGACACCATTGCACGGACTCTTTGTGACTGTAAGTCCTGAAACTCCTTGTGTCATACTCCGTTTGACCCATAACGTGCCATCTCTCGTACCGCAACTCAGGCTTGCGTCGCTAGCCGGCAATTTGCCGTCGCAGAGCCCGTCCTCTCAACACCCATCACCCAGATCAATACCGCTTTCTTCCCCGATCTTACCTACCTCGACAATCTCGTGTATCACTATGCTGGCGGCACGGTGTATGCCGCACTGAAGCAATGGGAGGAGGTGAATATGGTCCTCCATCCGTTCGGAACGCGGCCTAACAGTCTCTTTCTAGGCCGAGGACTTCTTTGAAATCGTGGTGGGCGCACCGGCGTTGGTGCCCAGCGCTGTCCAGCTCGAAGCTGGGAAGAAGTTGATATTGGTGCAGCTTATCAAAGACGGCAAGGTAGCTATAGTCCTGACCTGAGGTTCCGTTAGGCATCCTGATCCATTCTTGTGACAGTCAAACAATCTGCCAAAGTATGCGAACGGAAGTCTACAGCGGCAGTTGAAGAACTCGCCATACTATGGATTGACGCGGCACTACCCTCAGCAACAAGCCAAGCTCGAGCAACTTGTCGAGAAAGAGAGAGAGACGTTCGAGAAGGTGAGCCTTCGAAATAGATCGGATCGTCCATACTATCTGCGTCGTTGTCCACGATGTCATGCGTACCTCCGCGCTCATAAATCTTCCCATCGTCCAGGATCAGAACATGGGACTCGTCCTGCAGGCGCTGGATCATGCCCCTAGATGGGCCATCAAGAAGCTAACTGGGACATATCTGACCCTGAGTGTTTCCGAGATTGGGAAGACGGTAAACATGGCGGGCAAGGACGAAGCTGTCCAGCGACTAATATTGAGCATGGTGAGTGGCGCGAACGAGTCGGCTCTATGTTCCATAGTCTTCATACGCGCGGCCGTAGATTGAGAAAGAAGAGATCGATGCAACACTGTCGATGGACGGAATCGTTACTTTCAACGAAGATCACTCGGCCTTACCTATGAAGCGAATGTTGTCCAAGACGGAGGTTGACAACGCTCTGAAGGAGGCTCAGCAGCAGGCAGCGATTCTCAGGCAACTCGAACGCGAGATCGGGAAGAGTAGAGAGTATTTGCTAAAGGTGCGTTATCCCCTGGAGCAGTGAGCCTGATCCCTGACTTTCGCTAGGCTGCGAAAGTGAAGGATAATGACTGGTCGGGACCAGGGGGTCCAGACGAGGAGCTTTTGTTCGATGTAACACCAAGCGCGACATGGGCAGACGATGCCTAAGTCAACAGCCGTGAATAACAATTGTACCAGTTTCGTCCGCTATCGATGTTTTGCTCTCGTTATCATCATCCTCAGCATCCACCGATATCAAGGGTGACTTCCAATGATTCTTTGACATTCTATCTGTTACTGTGATATTACTCAATTCCTGACCAGAGCGCTGGCCATTGAGCCTTGGACGAGAGGCCAACCACTATGTTCACGTTGAGCTTGACAGTGATCCCGGTGGAGTTCACTATCAAGTTCAGCGATGAATATTGGAGGTAGCGTCACAGTACGATCGGTCTTATAAGTTAGCTTCGGATTCATACTTCCTACTCGGATTCTGGACAGGACCCCTACCTAAAGTACCAGCGATTGCGAAGTGGGCAGTTTGTTCCGAAGGACAAAGGGAGGATAAATGCAAAATACGGTGCGCCCTTCTTTATACCTCGCCGATGCAATGATGTGACACAATATTTAGTGAAACATCTTCGCGACTTTGTATGTGCTTCGGACGTTGATCGTCGCCTAATATGTCGAACAATAGATGTCAAGACTTTAAATTTGTTCTTATTTGCGCGCCGCCCTCCTAGGCACCTACACGACCAGGTAATATAACTGTATTTCGGGATCCTGAACCCATTGGAGTCCTTGTCCCGATGGTATGCTTTATCCAACAGTCGCAGTCACTAATGGGATTGCCATGTGACGCTGATGCAAAATCTAAGAGGGAAAGACGCGCAACGAGCCGCGTTGGCTGAACAATTGCCTTCAAGCCTGCGTCGACCATAATGCGACTATTCTGCGCTCAGGCAGTCCGGACGGGCCAGGTCTCAACATCAGAAGTCTCAGTATTGCCTACTGGATCTATCGGTTAATCTCACGAAGATGTACCGTTGGCCCTGGTGAGTACGATTGGCGTAGTCAAGCAATTCATTGTACGCCTTCCCTTAAATATGAGTGTGGGTGTTGAACGACTCCTCAATATTACTACGCACTGCCGCGGCAATCAAAGCAGTGAGCAAGATCACCACACGATTACCAAGATGCGTATCTCAGATGCAGATGTTGGCTCGAATATATTCATTAAGCTGCAGTAGACGCCAAGCGTTGTGCTCGCCAGCAATCTATGTATTGTACTCATGCCGATAGAGGGCGATAGTCACGTTGGCTAAGGAGGCATCTCATTCGAGGGTCGTCGTATCCCGTGCGCAGGCTTTCATTATTAGAATCCAGCTCAGTATTCCCGTTCCTCAGAAAATAAGTATCTATCGTAGGGGAAGGAGGGGGAGGGCTGTCACGAAATCTCCGTCTGTGAGACGAGGCTTATCGCTCTGGAGCATGTCGGAGTCCTGCTGTCAGTAGCATTGCGCAGCCGGCCCAGTCCATGGCGTTTTCGCACAGTTTTCACGATCAGCCAGGCCATGAGTAAGAGTCTGAGTAATGTTTATCATCGCACATGAATAGAATGACCCACGGCGCTACTTGTATCCCACGTTCCAAGGTATAACCACCCGATTACCATGGAGGTCTTCGTCGTACTGCTTGACGTTAGGACGCCAGGACTTGCTCGAGTAGTGGTGAACCGGGCACTGTGAAACCGATCATTCTCGTAGATGGGTTAGGACCTTGTGCGCTCATCCTGACCAATCGTTCATTCTCAGCGAACTCCGTTCCAGGGACCGGATATCTTTAGGTCTGCCTAGCTGGTCTGTCATGGCGCATTCTCTCAGGGAGAAGCATCTTTGGCTGATTCAGCCTCGAGTTTCGTCTGTCCTAAACCAGTTGAGCCCTCTCACGACGCACTCACGAGTTCATGCGAATAACGACATAGGCATCGTCTGCGCTTCATAAGGAAGCTATAACAATGTGTTTATTGGGCGAGATTCGATCGCTCACTCAGACGCAGCGGGCGTAAATGTGTTTTCCCTCCAAACGCCGGAAGGACGGCTCACCTGAAGAGGGTGGCCGAATCAAACGATCTCGATCCGCTCAAGAACCCGCTGAAAGTACAAATACCCCGGCCCCTCCGACATCTACCGGAACTAAACCCACCACCACCCAAACTACCGATACCACCATGTCCTCCCCCAGACTCGCCATCGTCATCTACACGATGTACGGCCATGTTGCCAAACGTACGTACATCGTTGTCCCGTATTCCCCTCCCCTCGGCTTGCCATCGACATCGTGCTGATGGTCGGTACAGTGGCCGAGGCCATCAAGAGTGGTATTGAGGGTGCTGGTGGGAACGCTTCCATCTTCCAGTGCGTCAAATCTTGAAGATTCCTTGGATCGTGCCGTGATACATACTATTCCTCTACGTTACAGGGTTGCAGAGACTCTTTCTCCCGAGATTTTGAACCTGGTGAAGGCGCCGCCCAAGCCCGACTATCCCGTTATGGACCCTTTGGACTTGAAGAACTATGATGGTTTCCTGTTCGGTATCCCCACGCGGTATGGTAACTTCCCAGTACAATGGAAGGTTAGTGTAGCTCTCTTCTTGCGCCAGGTCCCGTTTCTAATACCTTGCAGGCGTTCTGGGACTCCACTGGTCCCCTCTGGGCCAGCACGGCTCTGTGCGGCAAGTACGCGGGTCTCTTCGTTTCGACCGGCTCCCCTGGTGGAGGTCAGGAGTCGACTTTGATGGCTGCCATGTCCACCCTCGTCCACCATGGTGTTATCTACGTCCCCTTGGGCTACAAATACACTTTTGCGCAACTCGCCAACTTGACTGAGGTTCGCGGTGGTAAGCGTCCATAATCTAGTGTCACTTCGAATAAGGAATTGAGCAGTCTCGGTACAGGGTCACCATGGGGCGCTGGTACCTTTGCCAACTCCGATGGCTCTCGCCAGCCGACTCCCTTGGAGCTTGAGATTGCCAACCTCCAGGGCAAGAGCTTCTACGAGTACGTTGCCAGGGTGAAGTGGTAAACTGCGTGGCGTCTCCTTTTCCGTAGGTCCTCTTGGTAGTGGCGGTTTCTATCTTGCATTGTAATATACCTGTTTTCCCATCATCTGTGCTGAATCCGCACGCGTGCATATCCAAGCGACGTTCCAGGGAATGAGCGGCAGGCTCTTGGGAAGGGAGCCAGATGCACGGGCAGCGACGCATGGGAACGGGTAGCGCCACAATAGGGTCTATGCCGCAGCAGTTTAATTGGCCGGGGTCGATACTGCATGGTGCTTTTACAGTCAACTGTCCGGAGGACATGAAGGAGGACAGGCATATCTGGATATCTATCGTCCATACCGAGGTGGGACATACGAGTCCCTCTGACTCCCTCAGAGACTATTAGCATCCGCGCTTCCTTGCCTACACCATCAGCGGGCATCCGTTCGTTTCATGGTATTGCAAAGGTCGTCAACCAAAACAAAGACGTGTTTCATACCGGACGACCGGCCTCCAACTATGGTCCACCGGTTGCTCTCTTTAATTCTGTGTTGGGTCGGCTCGCATATCAACTTTCGCATCTTCAGGACATATCAGAGATTCATCCCGCCTCATTCCGAGCAGCTCATGAGCTGGTCACCCTGAGTCTTGGTAGCTATCCATCAGAGGAAATTCACGTTGATTCGCTCTCTCGCCCGTCGCAGCAATTCCTCGGCATGCCATTTACGCGGAAGCTGAAGACTGCTGGTATCGAACCTAATACCGTGGTTGGGGGTAGTGAGCCCTTTGGTCTCATGGAGGTCAAGAATGAGGTTGGCTTGAATGGGGATGGTTTGGTGTATGCTAAGATCGTCACGGAAACCACGGGAAAGGTAGGCTAATTCGTTGTATCGTCTATACTGGTGAGGATATTACAGATGTTACTCCGACGGAAGCGATCAAACTGCCCTGCCGTTCTCATTGGCGTTATGGGGGATCTCTTGGAGATTGCGATTGCTACCTACACCGATTGCCCTTGTATCGACTGTCTTTTCTCCGAGCGGCTGCGTTTAGGCTTCCATGAGCTCACTGTAGTCCCTCGCGTGGCTCGTGTCTTCAAGGCTGTGAAAGAGGTGTTTACAGGGCTAGAGCGGTTCTACTCGGAAATCGACAATGTGCCGCCATCTCCTACTTGTTTCCGTCGCCGCCGCCTTGCCATTCTTACGAGCATCTCATCCCGTGTCTGAAATTCACTGGCCGATTATCCGTCCTGGGTAAGTCCTATCAAATGGCAGATGCTTCGCACGAGAGACGCTCTGGTCTTTACCTCGGTACTCTTTTGATCTCGGATGACGCCGAGCCTGCGGATGTGTCGTCTGTCCCTGATGACAATGGCAGAGAGGTTGTGGTCAAGTTCACCGCCAAATATAACTCGGATGCACATAAACTTGTAGCGGAAGCTGGACTCGCACCAGCGCTACATGCCTGTGTACCCGTGCTCGGCGGTTGTGATGGACCGTGTTCATGGGGACACGGCATGGGCTTCAGAGGCTCTGGGCAAGCCACTTCCATACAGCGCCTACAAGGATGTCAAGACAGCTATTGAGCTGCTCCATGCTCACAATATTGTCTTTAGCGATTTCCGCACCCCGAATTTAATGTGCATACCTGGCAAGAGTGGCTCAGATGAAGCTGCGCGCGCCATGCTGATCGACTTTGACTGGGTCGGCATCCACGGTGAAGGAAGGTACCCGCCGACTTTGAATGATAGCAACCCAATATGGCCCGCCTCTGTTCAGCGAGGCGCATCCATGCTCAAGGCACACGACTTGGAGATGCTTGATGCGCTCAAGAAGGTGTGCCTCTCGGAGGCTTCATGAGTGAGTAGAGATTGGTGGGTCCATTGCTGTCTGATACGGGAAGTCGTCGTCGATAAAGCTGTTCGTTGCCTGCACGCTCCTGCGTCTTTTTGAAATGTACATATCGACAATGCCCTGTCGAGAGTAGGAAACATTGCGAATCAATTGCACCTTGTCGTTATGAGTCGGGTGAACTAGAGCATAACCTTTCTTCGTCTGTGATCTTGGGTTGTCGAGTATTGGCCAAGGGTGACATTGAGCCATGAACCGGCTCTACTCTCAAACATCTCTCAGTCATAGATCCAGAAATGAATAATGATAGCAGTACAACCCATACAAATTTCACATCCAATACATTACTCCTGGCCCTTCGCCTGCCTTTATAACCTTCTCTGGCCCCGTCCATCCTCCCCCCGCTCACATCGACCGCCCACGACTTGACTTCTCCACCGCTTCGTGGACATTAAACGGCGTGAGCCCACCTGCCGGGATAATGGGCATCGCAAAATACGGCTGCTTCTGCGCAACCGGAGTCCCGTTGGTCGTCGTGGTACCTGCGGCGTGTCCCCATCCGCGACTGGACTAGCAGCAGCAGGCAGGGCAGCCGAGCCGACTCAATCTCCGCGATATCATCCTGGGCCCACCTCACGCGAGTATACCCAGTCCACCGCCTTGCCGCCGTCCCCCCCGGCTCCCCCGCTGATCCCACCGCTCCTCATCGAATCGGACAACACAAACTGGTGCAGCCCCGCCTTCTTCATCTCCGCTACGTCCACGTCCCTGCCCTTCTCCGCGCCGACGTGGAACACCCTGATGACGGGCACCGGGATGAATTTCTGAATTTCGCGTACTCGGCGGGCTCGGAGCCGTGCAGCTGGTCGAGCTGGGCGGCAGCCACAGCGACAAAGACATACACCAGCGGTTGGTTCTGGAAGACGTCGACGAGCAGCGGCCGCGGCCGAGGGGGGCGAGAATACAGACTTGGCGTGCTGCGTGAACCGAACCAGGGGAGTCGCTCCTCGTGCGGAGAGGGGCGAGTGAGATGTAGTAGCGCGTCTTGAGCGGATGGCGGATATCGTCTGCGCCGTCTCAGGCGGTAAGGCCCAGCATATCCGCCCCCGTGTCCGCAGCCGCCAGCGCCTCCTCCGCGATCCCGATCCCACAAATCTTCACCAGCAGGGCCTGCTCCTCCTCCGCCCTCATCAGCTCTCTGGTGAATTGCAAGGCGTTCAAGTTCGAAGAGGTGCAGCCCCGACTGGAATGTTTTTCTCACGTACTTCCAGCGAAAGCCCTGCGTGCACTACTTACTAGGTACTTACTGTACACACGTCCAGCTGCAGGCATTCCACATCTAGCGATGTTCCTTCTTCTATCTCTTTCTCACCCCCGTCTTAGAGTTCCCTGTCACGATGGGACCCGGTACTTTTGCAGACGTGCCAGTGGCGTGGGCCTAAAACCCACCCCAGACAGAGCACTGGAGGCTCTGGGCAAGTAGCTCTCAAAGTCAGGCAAGGCATAGGCAATTACAGGTGATTCTGTCCTGCTACAAAATGGTGTAACCGTGACACGCGATACACTCAAGAGTCTGACGATACGATGTACGTGGCATAGAGTGCCAGTGAAGGCAGTGCGCCCAGTACTCGGGAGCGTTTATGATATGAAGCCCAGGGAGCAGCCCTTCTCGTGGTTCTGTACACTCACAAATTATGAAATGTGCTGGAAAGGATTATTGGTGGCTAAACGCAGCTACGCCTCAGGCTCCGAGCACGTCATGATTCCACGAGGGGGAAGGAAGGTAGCTATCCAACGCCCACACTGGGAAGATCTCAGTATCATATAGATCCCGGACCGAGGAGTAAAACCCACCACCAACCCCGGATTAGCCAAGTACGTTCATGGCGCTTTCTCTTGAGGCACTCCTGTATCATTGATGCTGCGACAGGCCCTTCTATCACTAGAGCATGCACCAAAAACCATAATGTTGGGAATGGGAACATTCTCCTCGCTCCCACTTGATGCTTACTATATCGGTGTAGGGAAGTTGCCACAAAGGACCACATCGTCCAGTGGTGACATGCATCTCACGATGAGGCGCCCTTGCTCTTCTCCTATGGGAGTATCAGAGATCACCAATTAGAAGCCCCGAGTTACGCTTACCAGGTCATAAAAGCATACGTAGCGTACATGATTTCCCCTCTCGCAAGCTACCTGGACACTATGACCGCCCACGACTCTTTCAGCAACTCGTCGACTACAGTGGAGGTAAGGGTCTGCTCCCTGTGTCCGCGCGCAGCACCTAATAATTGTATTTGAGATTACATGTCCTGAAGATACTACTGGCATCGAGCGAATTATGCTTGCTGCCCAAGGTGACCTGCAACGACTTCTCAGGTATGATGATAACCTCCTTTCTCAATTTCAAGTTCATAAATCGTATTTCCTTTGTTTTCAAGCTCATTTTTTGCGCGTCCTATCTCGGTGGAGCGCGTCTATGCTAATACCAGCCCTCGACTGGTCCCCGCTTCACCGTCCGACCCCATCACACAGCACCGACAAGTGCAGCTGAAGTGTGCCTCCCGCATAGTCTGCATCGCCACATCTTCTGTCGTCATTACGTCTCCCGAATGCGAACGACTCTTTCTGGAGGAAAAGTTTGCAATCGGCCAGCTCTTCAGACAGCTCCGCGTCACGCCCAAATTTACTCTGCTCAACGTCGAGACGCGTATCGTTAAAGGAAGACGCGAGCTCGAGAGGACATACATGCTCGAGACCAACGGCATCTCCTGCAAGATCACGGAGGTATTCCCGGACAGGGATATGTTCGTTCTGGGAAGAGCATGGCTGGACGACCCCAAATCTACTAGGCTTGAAATGCCGCCCAGCGACGAGCGCTATGTATACCAAGAGAAAGGTGTGGACTGCGGGGCCGGGGACACCATCAGTCCTCAGGCTCTTGCCACCGCCGCGACGTTGTCGTCCATCCTATATGGTCGCGACGTTGATCCATTGATAGGCCAGGGCGTCCGCGGTGACTATTCCGCATTGTCTGCCCGCCGCGGTCCCGACGATGACATCTCATATGCCCACTTCGCAAAACTTGTGGAGTACCAGTCATCAATGTGGTACGAGAAGCTATCTCCGCTGCTTCCAGCCGAAGCCGCTAGGTTAGGTGCGGACGCACCCGTCGTTGCTGTATTTGGGGACAGCGGTCTGCAGTCCACGATCACTGCCATGGCTTTACTGAGACTCAACGTCACGGTGTTCTTCATAACACCATCTGTACGTAGCCATACTCAACTATGGCACGTCCGTGGTCCCCTACTGATCATCTAACTCTGTTTAGGACTCTATCACGTCCCTTCTGGAAGACCTGGCTGCGCGACGGGTGTTCGCGGTCATATATGACAATCGCTACAGTGACGCCGCTCACGCGGTAGAAGAGAAACTGGCGATACCGACCCTAGCTCGCGAAGATGCTCTCCACGCCTCTAATTTATCCTCTGACTTATTACACGACCAGGGCAAGCGCGCAACGACACTTCATGACACACCTCCATCTATACCCGTCATTGTCCACAACCACCCGACCACGGCTATCGCGAGCCACTAGTCCCACTTCCACCGTCACTCACATCAAATTTTATAGACTACAATGGACAAGTTATATGCGTATAAGACGTCACCCCGCCGTAGGATATGCAACACCGGCCAAGGATAAACGGGGACTTCTATCTTCTATTGACCCATTTGCTCTGATTTGCTCTCGTGTTTTTAGTTCGTTGTTCCGACTCGGTTGCGCATGTACGAGATGTACGATAGTGCTGTTCTGTAGATGTAGAGATACTTCATACCGCTTTTCGAGAGTCAACTCGCCATTCGACTCGAATGTGAGACGAGATGGTCTCGCACCAATCGGAGTAATTCCACGTCGTGGTGCTATGGAAGGAACAACTCACCTGGAGTCGCAGGCAGATAGTCGTCAGATAAGAACCGTCGCGTTGGTGAGGGTAGCACGAGAAGTCTAACCTGGAGGGCGTACCAAGACATCGGGCTTCCCAAGGCGAATCATCCCCACTTGACGCTGAGAGCGTCACCGTTCGTATCGGACTCACACAGATTGGGTGTGAAGAAGTCCGGATACGTGAGATATGTGTACCCGGTCTAAGATCGTGCGACGATCTCGACATCTCTGGCGAGCGTTTTAATTATGTCTCATGCTTGGCATGAGGTGCATTGGCTTCGAGCTTCGATAATTGCTCTATGGATGTGGCTGCTCAGTAAGTTAGCCGGGAAACACCCGACGTCGAGCCCCAAGTGAAGACAGTCAATCGCGTATTTAGCCTTCTGAATACACGTACAGTACATCAGTTTTAGCTTGAACGACATCCTGGGTTTCACATGACACTCCCAGTGTCAGGAGCTGGTGTCATTCTCACCCATATTGTTGAGAGTTGCTGCAACTTGAATTTGTCACAGCGAGCAGAGACACATGCCAAGAGAGCTGAACCGGAGAATAATCCGCCCTTGGGGATCGAGGAGGTGCAATAGACGGGAGTCCGAGTCCGAAAGAAGATCCAGACCCAGGGAGGGGGGACAGCAAATATGAAAGTTAGTGGGGCCACTCTTGAGCTTGAGCGCACAGGCTATACTGGACAAGACTGTGGTGACTGGGTAACAATGAAGGCAGGCACGATTGGCCCGTCCATGTATATCATCCAGTGCTTATTAGATAGCGGCTCCTAAGCTAATTCCGTACGTGGCTGCACTGCCCTCAACTCAGCGTCAGGGAACGGGATACGGGAGCCGGGAAGAACTCACAAGCTCCAGGGGCTGCAATACTCGTCCTGCGCAATTGTACTCTTGAGCCTCATGGTACTCTTGAGCCTCATCAGGTTGGCAAAGTAAGAATCAATCTTCCGGGGGTTGACGCCATGGCCCCCTTATTGTGTGCAGGCTCACAACACGTATAGGGATGAAATATGGCCTATGAGCTGGCAATCACCGGTGTAGCCGCTACAACGCGCAACTGGAGTCCTAAATGTCAAACTAGAGTCGAAAAGTATGCAGCCTCAGAGTAAGGTGCGGACCGACGTATTGGTGGGCAGGATATACCCAGCACCGTATACGTAGGCAAGGTACGAGATACTCCGGAGGGCCGTGCGCAGGGCTTCTACCGTCGTTGCGAATGGTTCCCGCGATGACTTGCGGAATTCGTCTAACGTGTGATATGCATCGCAGACACTTGCGGGACCTAGAGTGGACATCCAGACGATCCCCGTCAAAGTGACTGATAGGCCGCATCTTCAGGGTTACGGCCAGGCTATGAATGGCACCACTGCAGGTCTGAGGGAACCTTGGCTCGCTCAGTGAAGAAGCTTATGGACTGCAAGCAATAACGACGCGTAGAAATCAGAACAAAGAGCTCATACCGCGTTGATATGAGTTTAGTCTAAAGAGGGGACTTGTTCGTGATGTACCAGGAAGTAACAAACATCGCGTCTCCGGGGAAGGCCGTGTCATATTTGGCACGAGTGGCTGGAAGCGTGCCACCCTATTGCCCCATACGTTGTTGTATCTGGAGAATCGTCTAGCAAGACATCCGCCCTGCAAAACAGGAATCTTCTGTACAGCCTGCACCTTCAATGGGGTCGAAACAGTTGTCTGAGCGGAATCTCCTTGGGTATACGGCAGCACGGGTCCACGGGTCACAGATCCCATACAAGGTGTACAGATGTAGTAACGGCGGCCGAATTTAGACCAATGAGCGCTAGATGAGATGCTGTGAACCTTCACAGCTTAATGGTTGACACAGCATCGCCGACGCTCCAAGTCAGACCCCCAACTTCTACTTGATGTGTCGCATTCGCTGATTGACCTACTTCACCAGGGCTTGCACAACTGAACCTGCTGCATATTCGCTGTGCGACGCCATACAGAGCAGCTGAGGCTAGGCGTCAAGGGAGCCGCGTCTAATGGCATCCACATCCAGTCGCACACCAACCGACGATGAGCTTCGCCACAAACAGTTCCTTAACTCGGAATGGGAGCGCGAGGAAGCCTTCGAAGAGACCCTCAGAAGCCAGCGGTATGAAGTCTTGCAGGCCGAGATAAGCAATGGTGCAGGCGAACGGGCTCGCAACAAAGTTTTCGACGAGTTCATTGTGAAAATCGACGAAGCGCGGGCGAACGCTGCCTACGCACGCATGCAGGCCTTCGAAGGCGCTCGAGAGTCCCAACAGCTGGAGTACGAGAAGAATGAAGCGATAAGAAGTGCGGCGTTTCAGAGTGAAATGCACACCTTTCAGGCCCAGGTTGTCGTCGAGCTGGAGGTGCAGGAGAAACACTGCTCGAGATTCATGGATTTTCGTGGGCCAGTGTTGGCGCAGGACCACCAGCATCGACAGGCCGTCTGCGCCTCGCTCAGACGTCGGTTTGAGCAGCAATTTGACGATATCCTCAAACCTTGGGTGGAAGCCTTCGACCAAAATTTCGAAGCTTTACTGAGAAAAAGACAGGAACGGGCCTTAAGACTAGTCAGTTCTGAGACTCTGGCCGTGCCAGCTATCTGACTCGTCCACAGCGTAGAGAGTACCCGCAACCCTTCGATGAATTGTTTCCGGGAGCTGAAAGCTCCACCACACACACAGTAGGAAGTGTACCGGGATACCCGGACGCGGACCCGACCTGGACGTCCGGCTTCGAGGAAGATTTATCAGGATCGGACTCAACTGAGATATCACCTTTGATTCCTCTTCCGCATGGGTCGCATTCTCTTCGGCGCGATACAATCGGGATGCCATCGAGTTCCAGTAATATTCAATACCTAGGGGGAGCAAATCAGAGTGAAGAAGACCCAGGTAATCTTTCGGGTCCCGTAGAAGGTTCTCGTCCAGGGGGAGCCATGCCACCCCTTGCATGTGAAGAAATGGGCGCATCACCATCTCGGGAGGGCTCAAACTCCAACCCGGCAAGAAACGAGGATGCTAGTCCTAAAGGCATGCAACCCACAGAGCTGTCGATTGATGTAATGTTCCAAGAGAACCAGACGAACCGCCGGGAGAGATTCAGAGAGGAGGAGCGGGAAAGGGTAGAACGCTGGATCGCAGAGGAAATGGTGCGGGATTACGCAGGAACTGATAGGGAAGTGGTGTTTGAGTCGAAGATACTGGATTCTGCAAAAACATTCACCCAAGAGATGCTAACATACGACCGGATATTCGAGATCAAACAGCAAGATAGAGTACTGGACGTCACCGGCGATCGGTTCAATGAGGCCCTATCTCAATGGGTCGGCAGCTTCAGGGCCTTCGAATCTCAAACCGACTCCCTTTATGTCAGTATGATGAAGGCAGAAGAGGACCTTGTCCAGGCGCTGCAGGACACCGTGGAAGAGGTCGTTGAACGCCAGACGGACTGGATGAATGATCTCCGAGACAAACATAGGAAAGTTTTCTCTCAGACAAGATCTCTCCTCGCTATGTGGGTCGGTTGTTCGATATCGCTGCCATGGAATTCTAAGGGACAATCGACGCGGCGCAAGTTCATGTACCGAACAGCGAACCGAGAAAGCGAGATGGTTAGAGACATAGATCGGGTAGGAACCGGCCCCGCTCCAAAGAGGCCATGCCCACTGCGGCAGGGTGGTGGACCCATCCGATTACCATCATTCAACATAGCAAGGAGACCTTCATCGCCTGTCACAGGCGTGGTGAGTAATTCATAGTAACGTGGGTCTGTGAAAGCAAACCCTCAGCTTATGGGAATCTTCCCTAGGGTATACAAAGCATCGTCGCACGTACTTATATTGCCGATCCCCTTCCTATCCCCGGCGACTTACACGGGAGAGAGGTGCGTAACCTATGCAAGGAAGCGGCAGCTGTCTGATTTGTCCCTAGGCGAACCTCTCCGGTGAACGAGACCGGCAGACAGTCTTTCGAGAATCGCAGGAGAGCATGAAGACAGTATTTGATAAGAGTATGCGAAAGCGCCAGCAGGAATTCGCGCTCAAGGAGGCGGGCCGTGAACAAGCCTTTGCGCAGGCGCAGACAGCCTGGCAACGCAGATGGCAGGCTCAGGAAAGATCTCAGAGCGACGAGTATATCGACTCTCAGAGACGGAGGGCTGAGGAGTTCCAAGAGAGCCAGGTAGTCCGCAAGAGGAAATTTCACGAGGAACAACGAGACAGAGCAAAGAGATTTCACGATTTCATTGAAGCCAGGAGGGACGAGTTCAGACGGAATCAGGAGGCGCGAGAAGTGCGATGGACGCAAGGAGAAGACAACCTCCGGTACGGGTTCTGGGAATGGGAGGAGGAATATCTCGCGCAGCTAAGCGGTATGGTGACGAAATACCAGGGGCTCTTTTGTGACGATGAGGCCAGCCGCCACCAGGATTTTGAGCGCGCGGTTGACTCCAGGGTCCCTTACAGCGACCGTCCGGGCTCTGGCTGCTCTATTGCGTGACAATACCTGCAACATACGGGTGGAGAATCAATGGCTCGATTTGAAACAATTACTGGGGAGGAGCGCATGCGATATACACACATTTGTATTTACCTCAGAGACTCGTATGAACCAGATATTCCCCGACGTGCCTGTCAATATTCATCAGTGTTGGCGCGTCATAGTCATTATTCGTGACTGTGACCAAAATGACTTCAGTTATTACCGAAATTACTAGGTATGACCACGTGGTCACTGTAGTCACAGTCCTTTCGCTAGCAGGGCAACGGAGCTCAAAATAGCAAGCACAAGAGCCTTCCGAAACTTTAGGGCGGGCCAGAATATCAAAATGAATGCTCAACCACCATATAAAGTTCAGGCTCAGTCAAATATGTGATACAGGATTTATTACACAGATACATCACTGAACTAGATAACATAAATTATATACTGAATGGTCTTTAAGTGAGCCAGAAATTCATTTGTAAATCCCAGATTCTATGCGACCCTGGGCCCAAATCATAATTTCAGAGCCAGAATCATACCCTGTGACCGGTCGGAATTCAGAATTTAACTTGGACCGGTTTTGCGCTATAAATAATAATTGCAGGGAGGTGTATAAATGTATTACCAAACATGTCTCTATATTATTAAACTACTAGTGCTTTGAAACGTTGGCGTGAATATTTTGTGTCAGACCGAACCAGAATCTAATCGGGCCGCCGGCGGGCCACTCGCAGCCCACTGATAAGATGAAGCATAGCCGCCGTCACGCAGCTCCCGAAGTCACAGCGGCTCAGCCGCTGTGAACGCCACTTAAAGATATTGACGGCGGCTGACCCGGGGGCGAACATGAGTTTATGGACTAAATACAAAGGTGCTATGCCACCACAAGCCAGACACATACAGATGATAAAGGAATGGGTTCTCAACGGGCATCCACGGAGAGTTTGCAGTGCGACTCATACCGACCACTGAACTTCCTCACAGCAGAAGCATTATGGCGCAAAAAGGAGCGCCACTGCATCTGTGACATGGGTTGAGCAGTCCCCTTCATGATTTCCCTAAGCCGATTTTGGTACCACTCTTCTGCCCCGTTGGTCCAATAGCCGG